TAAAACCATACAAATTGTTCGTATTTTAGTGCGTTGAAATTTACGAATATTTAATTATATTAATTCTCCTTTTCATAAGAGATATTAATCCATGAGCTGATAGTGAGAATAAATATTTAGTCCTAATTATTTCATGGTGCGCAAAAATACCCTCTAACTGTAAAATATATCAATGCACATCAGCTTAAATGCAGCCTTAAATCTCTTATTGATTTATCCAGATTTTAGGTTCAGCCCATTCAAAATTTTTTTTTTATTATTACTATTGCTTTAGTAAGGAGAGCAAAGTGAATTGAATGTAGGATGATTAAAAATTATAGAGCATTTCAAACTGAAATCAGGCTAGAAATTATTGGATTAGTTTTGCAGAATGATATGAGGTACAAACTCTTGTAGATGAATCACAACAACAAAGGCTTAGTAAGCGTTAGCGTTACATTAATGTGATGTTAGACTTCAAAAGATTATGCATTTCGAAAATTACTAAACTCTACTTTTAGCCCTATATTCCAGAAAGATAAGTTTTCTTATTACATGCGTTTCTTAATCTTCTGAAAGTAGGTTTTTATTTCTCTTGTTAAATTATAACCACTATGAATTTAAAATAATAGGAAGCATGTATTCTCAATGATTCTAATATCCTGGATTTATCAAACAGTCGATTAAAAGAATGAAATTAAATTTCTTTTAAGACAAAAATTTCAGACTTGGTGTTTCACCTAACCATTCAGATCTCATTAGATTTCAGTTAAAAAGAGTCTATTTCTCTAGTTTTAGAACAATTGGCTCTTCTCTATCATCACACTTTCCGTGTTTTTTTACTATTTTGTATAGTTTCTTGAACTCACTTCTTAGAATATTTGCCTCAATGCCATTTTTTAATGACTTATCTTTCTAAGGATAATATCATTCTTGAAACTTGCTTTTTGAATTTTTTTAACAGTTGTTGATTATATATTTTATAAATTTCTCGTTGCCCTTACTCATCAGAATTCTAGTACTTTCAAAGTAGATGCAGAAGCATCATCCATTTTCCAACTTAGGTGTTAAACTGAAATAGAAGAATGAGGGACTTTAAATTTACATTAACTGATTTTCGTTTTTCATAATATGTATGGTTCAATTTACTATTCTTGGTAATCCTTTGTGTACTCATGTAAATAGCTTTCAATTATTTCCTTCTCAATAACTATACTTAAAAACTCCATTTGGCTTGGTAGCAACTTTCTTAGTTTAGTGAAGGTTTGTTGAATATGGTTTTCTTAAATATCCCTATTGATATAACTGATTTATCCAGCTGGTTAGTTTGAGATTATCCACTGAACTTAGGTTACTCTTAACTCTTGCTTATATGACATTCTTTATTAATTGAAGGCCTCCTACGATAGGGTAAGAATCAAAGAAGTTTATGTCATCAGCCTGCTTTGTATTTAGATGCCTAGTATGTTGAATGATTTTTGTAGAATCAATTATGATCTCTGATAAAATCTGAATTGAAAATCAATCATAACGAAGGGTGATTTTAAATTGGTTCTCAATTGCCTTGCTAATATGTTGCTACTTTGATACGGAATGCTAAAGAGTTTCAATAACTTGTTCTGCGGTCTTATATTACCTTTTTGGAAGATTTGCTTATCAAGATGATATTATGTATTTCTTCAGAATTTTCCTTAACTCTTCAATTTTCTATAAATCAAAGCTTATGAAAAATTTCAATTAACTTTGTGGATGAGTCTATAAATAGGTGTACACTTTAAAGAGAAGTAACAGCTGAGTAAGAATTAGATATTTCTATATTTATTTGCACAATGAATTAAAAATTATAATATCCTCTAATTGGAAATTATTAACAACTTTTTATTTTATCTTTTTTTAGCTTAATCTTGAACAAGTTATTTGCTATAATGAATATTTAGCCAGTATTGGTATACAATCTCCGCATGAAGTAGTAAAAAAATAGGAATCTCTTTGACTTAGAAGCAAATTATACTTTAAGTGGTAATTAAAAGAGTAGAATTAAACTCTAAAAGTTGAAAAATTTCATAATGCACCATCTGCAAGAGTTGTTATAATTTTATACTTATTAATAAGTACTCTAAGTTCCGCTGGTTAATATTATATGATAATAGATGAAGGAGATGGTTAAAGCTAGCTTGGAATAAAACAGAAATGTGGAGAGCCGTCAGAACATGTTTATGAATAGTTGAACAAGGAAGAGTCGATGAAAAGTGTACATTAAATAAACGAAAGAGGACATACAGTTATTCTATGCATTATCAGTGGTTCGCTGTCAATCTCCTGTAAATGATTACTTATATAGCAAATTTTCAGTCTATTTCTGAGGTGAAATTAAAGATCTAGCTCAAAATGAATTGCTACATCTATTTCAAGCAAATACTAATATTAAGTTTAGATCTAGAATCCATCCTGTTAGTGAGGCACAAGCATTGCAATATCAATACAGCGACACACAACAACTAGGAGAGGAGGTCAAGGATATTGATCTTCTTTCTGGCGATATTTCTACCTGTATTGTTCTATCATCTTCTATTTCTAATTTGAACTAAAACAGACATAGGACAAATAAATTTGTAATTTACAGATTATTTAATTCATGCACATCATATAATTCATTGAATTGCCATTCAGATTCAAATGTACTAGAGCTCCCTCACCTTAATGTATTGAAATGGAATCAACAGTGTGCAATTCGTTGTATATGATTTTTTTAGTTTTTGCACTTGATCAAACGATTTCATTGCTAGCTACATCAACCAGTTTTGGAAACTATCATTGTCGTATTTAATACAAAGATGATAGAGTTTAGCATTTAATAAACTATATAATAAATGCGACTTAATTATAGTTTAATCCTATACAGATCTAAGTGGCAAGATTTTTAAATTTTTTATTAACAGAATCTCTATGGCTGAGACTAGGAGGTTGTAATGCCGATTAGCAACATGGATCCTATTCAACTACCGTTAGAGCTACTAAGATTATATATTTGTTAGCACAATAATCAAAAAAATTTACTATTATGAGAGAATACAATTGTAAGGATAAACTACTTTGTAATATAGAAACAAATCTTAAAAAATGGTAAGTTATGCAAGCATTCGAAAGTAGTGGCGCTCCGACAACATTATTATTCAATGACTTCGCATCGTAAAATTAAAAGTGTATTAACTGTTATATTCTGGATCGGAAGTGGTTTGATTTCATCAATGTATTATGCAACTACAGAGAAAACCTACCATAAGAATCTATCATTTTATCTGCTTAATACAAACTGTATATTTATCAATACAGTTTACAACAATTTTGAAATATTAGGCATTATGTTAACATAGGATGAGAATCTATCGAGTATAATAATTTGAAAACAAAGTACTTATCATAAAACAGGCGCTATGTTGAAAAGTTCTAATCAATTATATGTCAGCATTACAGTTGATACTAAGATCCAAAAAGGAGATTGGAAATCTCAATTTGTCTGACATTATAAAACATTCTCTAGAGATATTGATGAAGGATAACTACCTTCCTGTTATCTTAACTTGGTTTACGAGCTAGAATAATTGTTAGTTATTTTCATATGTTGCTAAGAGAAACTTAATTAATTTTAGTACTCACTAGACAATTCTCTTTAGAAATTTTAACTTAATTTGTACTGTCTGGGGTAGGAGTATCCAAAGTTGTGAATGCTAATTGTTCTCTTCAAAAACACTGCGATTAACAATACGAAGTTAGTACTAAAATAATCATATGATGCATCATCAAAAAACATTAATTAATAGCAGAGTACTTCTTATTCAGGAAATTGGTAAAGAATAATTTCAGGTTGATAGACAGCTCTAGTAATGTTTAAAAAAAGAAAAGAATTAACTGATGTGTATTTATTAATCGAAGATTGGTCCAGTACAAGAACTAGTGACATTCCAAGTACATTTAGATATTAATTTAGCACTTCTATTCGAACTTTCTTCATGTTGATTACATAAGCATTGCATTTTTATATCGCAAAAAATAATTATGCAATTTGAAAGAAGGAATCTCGTTCTATGGTTTAGTTGAGTGACTATATGTTATACGATAATCGAGCAAAAATACTTGTCTATAATTTGATAAATCTTTGCTTTTAGCTTCATTATGTCAGTACATTCATGTATTTCTCTTTTTTTCTCTTTTTTCAACTTAGATTACTTATAAATTTGAAAATAAATATAGAATTCTAGATAATTTCTAGAAATTAAATTGTTTTAATTAGTAGAGAAAGTAAGTAGAGGAATTTTTGAACTTGAAATTGCAAAGAATAGCTAGCTATATACTAATTTTAAGTTTATATTTAATACTAGATAAACCAGAGTTTCTTTCTATGGTATGTATGTATCCTATGTACATTAATATTTTGTCAATTCATCATCTATTTTTATTATCAAAATTCATCCAAATTATATTGCAATCAAACAATAGGTTGCCCAAAAACCAAAACTATCAACTGAAATGCGATTTAAAATGAGTAGTACAAGCAAATTATATTATATATTATCTTTAAGAAGGTTTTTTAATAATACGAGAAATAATTATTATCAGTTTTCTTTAAAATTATCATAATAAAAGAATTTTATAATTGAAAAAAAATAAAAAATTTATGGGATAGGTTAGGATAAAGAAATTTGAATTTATTGAAAATGATAACAATAAATCTCAAAAATAAGGAAGTCTTATAATTTTGATATTAATAGAGTTGTATTTTCTTTGCTATTCTAATTTAAGGCAATTTAGATCTTTAACATAACCTTGAAACTAGACCGATGAATTAATATCTTGAGTTGATTATCAAGCCTCAATTTAAATGCAGGTATAATTTTCAGTATTTATAATATATTTAAAAAAAATATTGAAGCTGATAAATTAAGGGTGAAATAGTGCATAATCCATTTGAATCAATTTTGTGAATAGTGAGAAAACAAATATCCTTGATCATTACTTATTATATGACAATGCATCCATTATAATCTAATTTTCTCACTTTTCAAGATTTCGTAAGCACAAAGAACAAATTAAAAGTATATTTAAGTGCTTTATGCATAGTTAGATAAAAGAAATTGCATCCAATCTATTCATTAAAGTCTACCAATAATTAAGGACAGAATAAACTATTATCCTTTACTAAGAATAGTTAGATTGAATAATGAAGAGATCTTAAAATTGAAGAGTAAATAAAGTCACATTAGATTTGATAGAAATGCGTGGAGAATTTAAAAATAAATGTATTTTATATATTTTATATTTATCAAAAATTCAAAATAATCCTTCTAGTTTTGAGTAACCTTGACTGAAACAATTTATATTTATAATTCAATCTGACTTTTCTACTTTGAAAGGTATATTTACAATATTTATTCAGATATATGACTAAAACTGTGAATTTAAAATTATATTATTTTACGTTCAACTGTAAGATTAGAAGAATCGATAACTTAAATACAATTTCCATTTTAAATTTTAATTAATTATTTATTTTATTCTGTGATGATACTAATTTTTCTGTTGATGATAGATTTCTTATAAGAATCATATTCTTTAGATAATAAAGAATTACGCCAATCAGCATTAATTGATATACAGATTGCTGAATAAATTGAAATAGACTAATCAGATTAGTAACACTTGCCTTTTGGAATTTGGTCAAAATATAATCCCTTAGGTCTCGCCACTTTGAAGGATGCGTATGGCCTATTCGACAGTAATTGTTTTTAAATAATCAATTCTGTTGATTATGCAACTTAAAGTTTAAATTTTATTTAATATGATTGCGTCTATGATACCACTAAAGAGATAAAAAAATTCATCTAAATTGGATTTAGTTAGACTGACTAGTTTATATTTTCAATATAGATAGAACCCTCTGAATATGAAGATATTTGGTATTTTTTTTACATTATAACAAATATTTCGAAAAAGAGAGTAGAATTAACAATTTCCTCCTAGCTAAATGTGATCTTTAAGGAAACTCTTGAACTTATATTACCTAAAAGAGACTAAAAATTATTATTTACTTTTGGTGGGAGTTTTAAAGTAGAGAATTCAAACATCTTATTAATTGAAAAAGGAAGAATATTCTCGCTTTATCCTGGTTAATTAATTGTATATAACTTTGAGATGAAGAGAATATCAATAGATTTTGATTATTGGTTGGAAATTACTTAATTTTATGAGGAAATATAAAATTGTGAATGTGTAACAGATTTAAATATGAACGAAGTTCATTTACTTTTTCTAGATGTTTAGACAAATCTTTTATAAAATATCAATTGCAATTCTTATACACTGGCTGGATGGCTAAAGATATCATAAATTCATCAATCTTCTGAAGAGTTTATTTATTAGTTCCTGAAAATAAGTACAAGCATTGAGGGAATAGAAACTGAAAATTTAGCCACTTTTCAGCTTTACTATCACATTTCTTCTGTTTAAAATAAGATAATAATTACAACATATTAATACGATTTTCCATCTGTTACATAAGACTTTTCAAATGATCCATTTATAATTAGAAGAGAATTAATAATTTATAATAATATTACTTCATGGCAATATATTTACATAAATTTGCAAGAGAATCGCTTAGATTTTTCTATCATATTTTACGAAGCTTCAAGTTCTCAATCATATGAAACCATATTTAATGTTAAGTAATTCCATAATTAATAATTAAAGATTTCTTGTGGAAATATTTAATAAACAAAATTAGATTATTTAGATGTGATTGTAAGAAGTTAGCTATTTAGCAATTGTATGCAAGATTTAAAATAACAAAAATGTCATTAGAGCTGTAAAGAATGTGATGGACCCACTAAGTATCATTGTTTAAGTTGTTCTAAAGAATTGAAAAGAATATATATTCCAGAGTTTAAACAATGTGATTGTCAATATGGTACCGTTGATTACAATAATGCATGCATTGATTACATCGATTAATATCTAAATTTAAATCTTTAGTTAAATGTCAAACAAAGAAACAACTTAAATTGTAAAATGGGTTACTTTGAATTAGATGGAGATTGTATAAAATGGTAATTATCATGCATTATTATTTTTCAGCCCTTCGAGAATCTATAGGGATTTCTTAAATTGTTTTGAATGCTTTAGTCAGCCAGATACATGGTTTCAAAAACCATATTGCAGTCTAAATTTAGAATTTACTAAAATATTAGGTTAATATGAAAGACCGATTACCTAGAATTTTTACTTACACGATTCCTCTGACTTAATCTCAACTAACATTCCTTGGTATGACGTTGGAGGAATAAGTATTAAAAATGAACGACTTCTTTATGAGTACTTTTAGTTGAGCTTATAGATTTTCGTTTCATTATGTAATTCATAGAAATCTAATATATCTGGTGAACACTCTTGTTATGCTTGCGATATTCGTTATTGTTAAAGTTGCGGATTAACTTAAAATAAGGGTATTTTTTGTTTAAAATGTGAATATCCAAAAGAACTTGTTAATGGCAGATGTACCGATTATGAAATATTTAATTACACATCATGCTTGCCTCCATATTATGCATCATTTTCGAGAAAGTGTGAGTTATGCCCAATAGAGAATTGCATATACTGTTTCGAATTTGTATATAATGGTGGATTCTAAATGAGTATTGAATTTTCAGATTTATTTAATAAAGAGGATATACAAATTGGTTGTTTGTTATGTGAAAAAGATTATAATTATAATTTCTATCATTAAAGATGCATAAAAAAGGCTCCTACTATAAATAACTGTGTGACATCGGTTACAAAACCAAAAAATGAAGAAATATGTTTAACATCAAGTTTAGATAATTTTCAAGTCTCAAAAGAGATTAATCATTGCGGTTCATTAATATCATATTGCTCAGTGTGTTTTATTGATTACAATAACAAAATAACATGCTTAAAATGCGAATCTGGTTATGTGTTATTTGATGGATTCTGTTATTATGGTGAAGAAGAAAGCGGTTATGCTTTAAATGAATATTGGAATACGAAAGTAAAAAGTTTTTTAATTAACTTTTATCAATATTACGATTATATTGAACCTTTAAAATCATATCCATGCGGTAATTATTGTAAAACATGCAAATATTCATTAGGAGAGTATTAATGTGAAGAATGTTATCTAGATACAAGAGATGAGGATTTATATTTAAAAAATTACATGTGTAAATCTTGTTAACCATATTGTTTGCTTTGTAACAGTCGATATGAAATAGATATCTCAGTAAATATATAAAATTATCAAAGGTAATAGCACCATTCCTTTTAACCACTTATTACAAAACGCTATATACATATTAATGTCTATTCCCTATTCTAGATCCTAATATATATTACAATCCTTATTTAAAAACTACTTAGTATTGTTTGGAAGGTGATTGCAGTAATGAACTAACTTATGAATTTTTTCAAAATCATTGTGGTTTTTCTAGATTTCCAAAATAAATAGATGATATAGGAATTCAAACAGAATATTTGAATAGCATTGGAGCTGTTTCTATGACCATAGTTATCAGAATAGAATTAGAAGGGGATTTTTGTTTCCTATCACCAACAATAGCAACAACAGCTTCCATAAAATTTCTTGTGTTTACTTTATAGATAATACATTTGAAATTATTAGCGACATCTCCTTTTTACATGGCTATTTTTGGTTAGATTTATATCCAAGAATATGATTCCTTTACAATGATTGGCTTTGGGATAATTTTAGATTTCGATATGACAGATTTCAACGTCAGTAATAGCAAAAATGAAGTAAGTTTTACATTAATAAACAATACTATAAAGGATAGCTTAGTATAAAATGTTCAATCCATATTTAAGACAAAAAACTTTGGTGATGTAAACTTAAAAAATATATCAATAATTAATACCCAATTTGTTAACTCATCACTCTTTAACTTTAACTCATTTAACTTAATCGGGGAAGTTAAGATCAATTAATTATAATTATTTAATTGTACTCTTACTGACTCAATTTTGTTTGAATTTTCTTACACCTAATTTCCAATAAAATTCATAAACTTTACTATGGATTAATGTAAACTGTAAAATTCATCTATTTTTAATTTTAGAGCTAATAATCCATTAAATATTCAAATATATCTACTAAACATATTAATTTAGAGATCTAAAATTGAGTCAGTCCTAATTTTTATATTGTTCTTAACAAGTTGATGTTATTGCAAATAATTTAGTCTTTAATTTTAACTAATTATTGGATTCGATTATATTTGGATTTAGTTCTGGTTTAAACTCATCTTAGATTGAAGTTAAGAACAATATATTTATTCAATCTTCGTTTATGACAACTATTTAGCTAATAGCTCAACAATTAGCATCTTGCAATTTAATGTACATAATAATAAGAAATAATAAATTACAAAATTCAAATCTATTTAAATTTTTTTCAGAATTTCAATCAAATGATCTCATTATACGTTTTTAGAATGTATTAATTGAATACAATGAAGGTTTAATTACTCTAAACCAAGTAAGTTATATGTTTAACATAAATGGCAATTCAATTATTTTGGATAACTTTTAAATCTACTAAACTAAAAAAATTTCTATCCTCAATTTATTTGATTCCTAGAATGTAGAACTATTAAACTTTATTGTTGAGAATTCTGAAATGGAAGAAAAGATATCTGTAACAAAAAGCTGTTTATAAAACATAAATTTTTAAAACCAAATAGTATCAATAGTTAATTTTAATACAATTTCCATATCTAATTTAAAAATAAAATATATATAAAGTATGGATGAATCAATAATTAAAATTTTGTCTAATAGTTAATATTTCTAAGAAAAAATAAGCTAATTAACAATAATAAATATTGAATTTTATGGAAATCTTCTACAATCACTAAATTAAAATCTTTATTTTTCATTAATTACAATTATTTCTGACAGAAACCTGGATATTCAAATAAAAAATGTGGTTTTTTTAAATAATATAATGCATGAGTATAATGAAAATTCATTAAGGGATTCAGCAGCATTGTTCTACATCTCAACTTTAGCAAGTACAATCCAAATAGAAAATTTATATTGCAAATACAATGCAATGACGAACTCATCGAATTCATTTATTCATATTGCTGCTAAATCGTTGAAAATGCACGATGTGCACGTAAGAAATCATAATATTCTGCCCTTTAGTATTTGGAATTATTATTATAATTTGATATAGGGTAATTAAGACCAAATCTAATCTCAAATTATGTAGGTTTTTTTAATAAAAACAATTGGAGGTGCAGCATACATTCAAACATCAAATTTTTTATGTATCAACTCATCTTTTGAAGAAATAATGGCTGCAAAAATTTCGGTTTTTGATATCGTCACATCAAGTGATGGAACAGTTATGATGCAAAATCTATCTGTTATTTCAACTAGAAATAGTTTTGAGGAAAGTGTTGAAAGTGCAGGATGCTTAAGTGTTAATGCGATTAAAAGTATATTATATCTTTAAATTAAAAATGCCAAATTTCAGAATATTCTAAACAGGATGGCATCATCCATAATTACAATAAATCCTTCGATACAGAAAAATAAATTGAGATTCTAAAATATGTCGATAATAAATTGTGTTTCATTAAAAAATTAGATTGTTAAAGTTTAATTTATTATTTAAGCAAATAAATACAATTCCATCTCATTTACAAATTTAATGATTCGCTAAAATTTAGAATCTTGGGTCGATTTGTTTTCGAACACAGGAACTTTGTCTGACTCTGAAATTCAAGATATAATTGGGAAAGATAATGCAATGATATATTTAGAGAATTGTGATGCTACTTTAGAAAATCTTTTTTTTGAAGGAATGCTTTTTTCTAGTATTCTTAATTTAAATAACATAAATTCTCTAAATATGCTAAATTGTTCATTTTATAATGTTTAGAATATTTATACATAAAATCTAATTTAAATTACTTAAAGCGCGTAATAACAGTAAAGTGTTTCCTTAAGATATTTGAATTTCAAATATGGATCCATGTATATTATCGATCATTCAATGAATTAAGAATACTTATCAAAATATAACAAATATTTCATTTTTGGATGTTTTATATAGAGTTTTTCAGTTGAATCTTTAGAGAAAAATTACTTTTATAGCAATACAATATAACTAGTATAATAAAATCAATAACAAACATCAATAATTTATGTCAAGAGCTACTCAAACCAAGGTGTTTTTATTTTTGATAGGATTTAATTTTAAAATAATAATTATTCTGCTACTTACTAAGGAATAATCCATTTTGATAATATCAATTTTAAGAGATTCTAAATTATTAGATTTGATTGCAATTATAATTTTATCAATAAGTATGGATGCTTAAATATAATTGGTAATTAAAATGCTTCTAACTTGTTTGAAGTTAAAAATTCACATTTTATTTCAAACCTTGGTACTTAAGGAGTTGCAATAAAGAGCAGTGATATAATATTAAAGATAAAAAAATGTAAAATTATTTCTAATATTGCACTTTCTTAAGGTGGAGGTTTATATTTGCAACTTAACTCTAAAAAGTTTTATATTTCTGAAACTATCATAATTGACAATAAAGCTCAATAGGGAGGAGGAATTTACTATGAATAGGATAATGATCTCTCAATGAAAACCTAAGATTAAACTTTCATTTACTTCAATCAGGCAGAGTTATATGGAAATAATCTAGTAGAAAATCCTAGTTATTTGCAATTATATATTAATTCAAAAGCTATGAATGCCATAGAATAGAAAATAAATAATATTTCAACAAGCATCCTAAAAATGAGTCCATACATTGTAATGGAATAAGGTATTACAAAATATACTGAAATGCTTATGCTTCCTAGTACATAAGTAATTGATACTTATCAAATATTTTTTCTCAATGAGGCTACTTTCTTGACCTACATTAAAACTTTAAAAATTGTTTTCAAAAATAGCAAGGGAGAAGTACTTCATAATAATTATAATTCAACTTGTGAAGTATCAGATTACATTGTTACAAAGGAAACAGGAGAAAAATAAAAATCTTCTTTAATTTAGCACTTACTATACTAGACATCCGATAATAATTTTGAATTAAATACTTTAGTTTTTCGACTTGACCCATATAAATAGGAAAATCGTCACTTAGAAATTCAAATATTTTGTAAGACTCAAAATTCTCAAAATGGTCTAAATTATATCATAAATGCAAAAAGTTTTAAATGTTAGCTAGGAGAATTTTATATCGAAGATGGCTGCTAGATTTGCAAATTTAGTCAAGGTTTCTATAGCGTAACCTACGATGCAATTAAATGTTCGATTTTTGATAAAACTAAATTCTAGACAGTAACTTCTAATATGATAAATTTAAAAAAGGGGTTTTGGAGACCGAATCATTTATCCGATGCAACAGAGGAATGTTATAAAAATGCAGAATTTTGTTAAGGAGGATGGGAGGTTGGAGATTCAATTTGTATTAAAGGTCACATAGGCGCACTATGCGAGATGTGCGATTTATATAATATAAGGGGAGAGGGGTAATATATTAGAAGTTAATAAAATTCATAATGTGTTTCATGTTCAAATGAGTAGAGCAGCATTTTCCCTTTTATTTTTACTTTATTTTAGTATAAAATATTATTTACTTTAGGGCATTATTATCTCTAACATTATCACTTAAAAGTATCAATAAATCAAATTCTTTGTTTAGTTCACTAAGTGTTTTTTAACATAAATTTAGTAAAATACTATTTAAGTTAAATTAAGGTAATTATAAATTTACATTTAGATCATGAGGGTATATTAATTAAGATCTTATTAAATTACTTATGGATATTTTCATCCATATTTACTTTTAATATAAAGTTTTCATTTTCTATCTTCTTTATAGAACAATCAAGTAATAGCTTTTAATTTATGGTCAATAATTTAGATTGTTATTTATCAGATTTATAAATACATTTAATATACGCTTAAATTATTGTTTTAATCTTATTAATGCTGCTACAATTTTATTTTATGCTGATAGTTTCATTTATTTATCATCAACTATCATCATAGAAAATGGATAAGAGTATAATTTCAAACACTCTGCTTTGCTTATATGTTTTTAATTATGGAGGATTAATAAAATTGTAATACAGAATTATAAATTAGTTTGTGTTCGAAACTGTCCATTAGATAAATATCTAATATTGATTACATTCAAGGAGATGTTTCATTAATGTTTAATAGTTAGGAACACTAGTTATGGGTTTAATTTCTTATTATTCCACTCTTGTTAATTTTTGGAGGTATTATTCCAATTTCATTATTTTTATTGATGCTTCTAAATAGATTTCACTTGTATAAGATACAATTCAGAAAACATATTTGTTATTTGTTTAATGAATACAATGAAAATAGATATTATTGGGAGTAAATTAAATTGATATAGAAGTTATGTATAATCTTAATAATGACTAACTTTGAGAACAATTTGTTATTTAAAACAACTTTATTAGGCTTATGCTTAGAAGCATATTAAGTTTTGGCTATAAATAATAAACCTTATATCATTTCTAAATTTAACAAATTAGATTTATAATCTGGCTAGATTTGCTTAATCGCAATATTTCTTGCTGCAACTAAATATGAAAGTTAAGTCTTGCAAAACAATGTTTTATCAATGTTCCTTTAAACAATTTTGATTGTATTATTATTTCGACTTAGTTTTCCTTTTATTAAAGACATTCTAAGTATTTATTTCAAAAAATATTCAACACCAATTTTAACAAAGCTTAATCTATATTTGAGATAATCAAAAATTAATATTTAAAAAATATTGGAAATGGTTTGGATAGGGAATTTCTAAAAAAAAAACAATTACAAATGAATATTCAAAAAATGAGAGAGTTAACCTTATAAATAAAGGTTAAAAGCACAAAAGAAATGATGTAATTATTTATTTATTTTCAAGATCTTTTACCAAAAGACCTTTTCTTAAATCAAAAACAAATAGCAAGGCATCATTTATTGAGATTAAAAACTAATACTAATTTTGAGATATTTATTATTAAGAATCAATAAATTTGTTGACCTATTTTAGATTTATATATAATTCCGAAATTTTTAATCTTGATTGAACCGCATTATAATAGCTATCCTTAAATTCATGTGGCTATTAATCATTTTCGCCCTTATTATTTGATTCAATAATTATTCAATTTTATTTTATATTTACTCTTGTTTATTACCTTTATATATCTGTACTTAGGTTTGGGATAAAAGAATCATTATTGTTAATATATTATATATAAATAAATAAAAATAATAAATAGTGTAAGATGCTCTATTTAAATGATCCTAAAACAGCAAATTTACAAAATTAGTATTCGTCAAATAAGTAACTTCCATTGTTAGTTGGATTTTTGAAGAAGGGATGCATTTTGAAATTTGGAATAAATTAACAAAGAATATACAAAATAATTCAAAAAGTAAGAAAAAGTATTAGAAAATTAAAGATTGAAGAATATGGAACGAAAATTTAATTTGTTCCTTAAGAATCAATATCCAAAAATAATGTTCAATTTATGATCATTTTTGAATTCAATTAAATTTTGAAATTCTATTAATAACTTTCCAATCCTTTGCATAAAAGGTATAGAAAAATGAGCTCAGGGTACCCAATAATGTTTGAAATTATAGCATAACAGATTGCGAAAGATGACTCAAAATCTCCCAAATTAGTAAAGCATTAAGTATATAACAACTATAATTTAAGGCTCTTGTCTAGGTATTCATATTACAAAGATTTGAAATATTCTATTCCTTTATCTATATACTAGGTATGAATTACTTTAGACAGGTTGAGAATTATAGGAGAGAAAGATGCAGGATCAAATATAATAGATGGATGGAATGAGCAACACAAATACTAGTTTTAGGGAGGATGAGTTAAAACCCTTAAATAGCAGCAAAGTAGAACGGAAATTAAACCATCAGAATTCTGGAACATATCGTAACATTATCAAAAACTATGCACAAACGATTCCAAATGCACCAGCAAATATTCTTTAGTGAAAAATATTTTATTCAGCAGCTTCAACTCTTTAAGCAGCTTTAACTAGTTCTTCAAAACAGTTTATAATAAATTTCATTTATTAGAAGAAGAGGAAAGTAGTTCTAATAAAATGAAAAAGTTGGTGATTCGAAAATCATTTGTACTTTGATGAGGCGGTGTTTCAAATCCGATCAAATAGATATTACACATGATTGGCTTGTTTTCGGGACTCCTAAATCTGCCAATCCACATCAAAGAGGTCTAATATGAGTAAAATAAATTTGCAACCAATATGAAAGATTTAGACCTTGGCCTATTCTTTCGCCTTGTATAATGTCCTGATAATTATATAAAATGTTGATCTTTTAAGGTTTTGCTGAGATGAGAATAAGAATGTAGCTTTTATTACTTTAATACTAAAACTTAAGCTTTTCAACCATAGGTTTTATAAATGTGCCAGGCACCCTTATACAAATATTCTTTATCACCTCAAAATATCGTACTTGGCTTATTTGAATTTGGTGTATTCCCTTGCACAGGATTTTGATATAATTTGTTGCTTAATGCTAAAGCATATTGTTAGGGCTTCTTACTTGTCTGGGTTATATAGAAATGCATCATCTTTCTCTTATGTTCTAATTGTTGTTCAACATAATATGACATTTTTGAATATTTTTGTTTGAATTTAGGTTTCAATATCCTTCATGCATCAAATTTGCAGATCCTGATTCACTCTTTCTTCTCGCTATTGATGCTTGCTTCTTGTGATGAACTATAAATGCTGAATGAAGGGTAACCTATTAATCAATTTGAAGTGCTTTGAGTGTGATTCATGATTCCAGATAGTTCAGAAACTATTGATCCCTTCATTTTAATGTAAACTATTGTTAAGATCTTAGATTTGCCTTCTAATTAATCCACGCATGCTCTTTAAAGTCTAATCTTGTTATATGGAAATAAGTATTGTCTCCTTTAATATTTATCGCTTAGAACAATATAAAATGAATATTTCTAGATTAAATTAAGACTGCTTTAGTAGTTTATCAATCAAATGCATATATTAATAAAGGAGGGTTTTACATGTAATAATCTAAACTTAGGATACTATTTAGACATTACAGGTAAGATAAAATATTAAATCGAAAGAAAAATGCATGTAATAATTTATATAAGGTAAACTATATCGATAAAACACAGGTTAAATTTGGATTCAACTTTATTAATACAAATAAATCAAGTTTAAGCAATTGTGATAAAAATTTGACATCTAATAATTGAGCTTTATGTGTAAACCAATTTTGATAAATTAACAATATCTTCTTTAATCGATCCAATATTGGCCTTGTTACAAATTCAATGCTAGAAATCGAAAACTTTGAACGCCTCCTACTTGATATCTGAGGAATAAATTTATTTTCTATTTAAGTTATTGATATTTTTTAAGCTATTACAAAGCTTACATTTTAATCCTTTTCCTTTAAATATCATTTACCTTTAAGTTTTATCATTTATAATATCAAGAATTAATGAATTTTTAATTTACTACTTAACTTTAGGTTTGACTAAGACATGATAAAAAAGTGTAGGATTTAATTAGAAGAAACTATTTAAATTTAAATAATCTCTTCAAAGATTTAATATATTCTTATTAGGAATAATATACTGAAATAGATGAAATCAATTATTTATAAATTTCTTAGCCTAGAGCTTTTATAATGCTTAAAATACTGGTACTATCAATAGCTTGTAACCTGAAATAGAAAGTAACAAAAACAAAAAGTATCTTTTCCTGTTTGTAATTCATTTTAATATCTATCCTATTCAATCAATAAGAAGAGTCTTATATTCTCATATAAATATACATTTTTAGTTATACAACTTGAAAAATTTAATAAATCTTAAAATATTATTCAAAAAGTTACTGAATTTAAACAAAATAAGTTCCAAAAGAACAATAGTAATCAATATTTAATATTAACAATATTCTTAAGATAAAATTAATAAATCTCAATAAAAACCTAATTCATACAAAAAAACTATAGAATTCTTATATACACAATTAAAATATATAAAATTGATAATCAAAAAGCAAAAAAAATTAATTTTTTTTCATTTTCAACTTAATTCTAATTGATTCCATACTACTATCTACATTTATATATATATTTTTTTAATTATTGATAAACATCAATAGCTAAAGTGAAAATAAGAATTAATGTAAATCCACCTACATTAATCCACCCTAAAACTTCAGCTGACTTCTTACTTTAATCAAATTTAATAATATCATAAACAGAAAAGAGTATTACATTAAGCATAATTAGAATTTCTGTGATGAATATTTTACTATTTTCATAACTGTTCTCAAAAGGTTGATAAATATAAATATAACAAGAAAATACTCCTGATAAACAGGCTGTAATTAGACTCTAAGCAGCCAGAAGTCCTTAAAATAAAACTAAATTACAAATAAATAAGGTTTTTTTAATTAGTAATATGGTAAAGTATTATTTTGACCCTTATTAATAATTATTATTAATTCCTTCTACTAAAACTTAAAATGTCTTAGGGACTTTGTCTTTTTTGCATAGATAAGAAAAAAATAATGCTATCAATAATATATTAACTAGTAATGTAATTAATGCTGTTAATGAAATGGCTCCATTTAAAGCAGTATCAGTGTTGTAATTTGCAATTTATAAAACGGATGCAAACGTTATTTCATAAAAGTTAGAAGTAAATATTCTGATTAATCCAGAGTAAATAAAATATTGGTATTATTTTCTGGCCAACTTCTAAAGGGAAAAAATAAATCTGACAAGTTAAAAGAGGCTTTGTGATTACGTTTAATAAAAAATAGCCGGCCAATTTTCGTATTTAATAAGAACAAGGAATTTATAGAAGACATATGAAACAACAAAATAAACAAATCCAATTATGATCACAGTGACTAGTGTTTACAGGTTATTCAAAAAGTAACAATTGATTTAATAGTATTCAAATTTCCATTTAGCTGGTATTATTGGAATTTCGAAATCAAATAAATCATGTAATTACATGTCTGTTTATAAGCTGTTTATTATGGGAGTAAAAGAACCAATATTAAAAATTTCAAAGTAGACATACAAGTTTTCTGGGAATTAGAGGTTGTGAAATTTCAAATATGATAATTATTAAAGCGTATCAAGGAGATTCCATAAAATTTCTAAATTGCCAGCCAAAAAAGCAACACCACTAACAATCAAGATGATATACATAACAATTCGCCCGAGAAGAGCTGTTTTAAAAATAAGGGATTGATTCTCATTTGACATTTTGTTAGGAGATGATAATACCAACTTTGCTTCGTTAGAGACTAAAGTATTGTCCTAAGCATTTACAATGTTCTCACACCTTAGTGTTACTTTTAAGACAGGATTTGAAATGCTACTTTTAAAATAGACAAGTATCTTATATGATGCATCATTCATTAAAGAAGTAATTGAGATCACGGGTTTGATTTCAACGTCATATTCGTCATCTTTAGCCCCCTCAATAACAATAACAATCATCTAAAGAAATTGCTCATCACTAATATTCTTAATGTTCAAACGTACTTGTTCACTGAATGATAATTGGAATTCTTAATTATCTTAATTTGTTTTTGTGAGCTTAGTAAGTACAATTTTAGGTCGAATACTATAGTTACAAACACTAATATTATTTTCCTATTAGCACTTCCAGTCGCTTTCAACTTAACAAGAATCACTACATCCATCATTATTCTATTTATTTCCATCATCACATTATTCGACTTGCTATACAAGAAAACTATCCCCGCAAACAGTATGACATTAAGATTCGTTTTCTAAGTATCCCTTCTCGCAAAGTAAACATATTCCTTAGAAGCAATTAAGACATTTTTAATGACAAGAATAGGAGCACTAATAACATCCATCGAATTCAATCTAATTTCCATCATCGCAAAATTCGTTTCCTACTATATACCCATCGCCACATATTGATTTGCAACTACCATTAATCAATACCCAACCCTTTTTATGACAATCTTCGCACACAGGGCCATTACAAATATTACATCCTTATGGACATTACACTTGACATTTATAACAACCATCATAAGGGAAATAATTGCCATCATCGCATTCTTCTTCTTTACTAGATACAACGCCATCTCCACAGAAATCGATACATTGATTGGAAAAACATTAATTTAAAGTATCATCCCATATACATTCCACATTTTCACTATCGGTATAGCAGGCTTCTTTTATTTAGTAATTCCAACAATCTTGTTTTTTAGTACATCCTCCTCCTTATTTAGCAGTGCAAGTTGAAATATACGCATTGCATTCCTAATATTTTGTAAGAGAAATTGATGCAGTTTCACAAGTTTTTGTATAACATTTGTCAATAATCCAAACGCATGGATTGAGATTGATATCAAATGTACAACCATCCATGCCATTAGCATCCTCGCAAGCTTTTCTTAACACACATTGATATCCATTAGTCGCACATTTCTTGTTTTCGAATATTGAAGCACAAGCTGAATCTATAGCATAATTATAATCAAAGCACTCTTTTATACGACAACCACCTTTTGAACAAGTAGAGAGGAACCCTATACACTCAGAATGAGATTGGGCAAGTGGAGGCCCATTCTCGCAAATCTTCTCTAAACAAATACTCCTGTCCTCATTCCAAAAACAGTTTACCCCGCTTAAATTCATTTGCCCTTCACTTTTGCATTAATTATATGTGTATTTCATGCATAAGGGTTGACCAATCTCGCATCCATTCAAGGTTTCATTTACCGTACAAGAATTCCCAAAATACTAATGACAACTATGCGCTGAATATAAGGGTAATTGTGCAGTTAAACAGTTCTTTATTGTACATTTATTTTAATCTATCATCCATTGGCATTCTACATTATTTAAATCAATTTCACATTATTCTTTGATTGAATAACTGCTGCAAACATTTAATTATTGGCATCCATCCAAAGTTGGATTAACTGTACAAGATTTTAACCTTGAGTTACATTGTTCATGTGTTGTATATGATGCTTACAAGCTTGAACATGTAAAATTGACACATTGATTTAATGAAACTTAAAAGAAGCACTCGTTTCCAAATTAATCTTTGTAACATTAGGTTTTCTTAGCTAATGAACAAGAAAATGGCAGGTCTACACATTGAATTTAATCAAGTTTAACAGTGCAACTTTTATTTAAAAAATAGGATTCACATAGTTAATGAGTGTTATTTGAAATATTTGCTTAAGTGCAATCTTCTACGCATCGATTCTCATTACTATTCCACTAACAGTTAATTAGCCAACTATCACACTCTGCTTGATCAATCGAAGGTGTTGGTTTATTTGAGCATGTCTTTTCTAAACATTCTGTACCATCCCAAAAGCAAGGGATGCCTTATGAGTTATTTGTACTTGAGCATGAGGGGTCATCAGAATATTTGCTACAATCACCAATGCTTTAGCACGCCAAACCATCCCAAAAACATTTTGTAGTAAAAATAGTACAGTCTGTAATAATTGTTAACTATGAACAATCTAGAATTTGACATTCCATATTATTTAGCGACATACAAGAATCCTTCCAGCTATGACATGATGAATGTGTTAAGGTCATTAAGTGATGAACTGCTGCTTTACAATAAATTATACAAGCGTTAGAATACCAAATACAGTCTATACCATCAATCGTACTTACACAAGCCTCTTAATATGTATATTCTGAACATTATTATTTTTTGGATGTGCACTTTTAGCTCCATGTTATAGTTATTGTTTATAACGCGGAATAATCGTTGCAATCCTGATGTGATTTAGGTGAAGTCATGCTATTTCCACTGCAATATTTAGAATTCGAACATTTAGTACTGTAAAGTGAACACCAATAACATTTTGTGGCAACTGACTAAATATAACCATAACTGTTTTCACAATCAAATTAATTTGTAAACTCATAACAAAATTTCCTTGTGCAAATGTACGACCCTTCCCCATCGTCATCCCATTTACATTTTTCGCCATTGGAAATTTTTGCTGAAATACATATGGTGGAGTCCTTAATTTGACTACAATTACTAAAAGCACATCCTTAACCTAGAGTATAATTTAATCTACAGAATGTGCTATTACTTAATAAGCATTCCCTATTTGTCACTGCGGTTGTGTTAAGATCACAATCAACATGATTTACGCATTTACCGTCTTACCAAAAGCATGACAGAGAATAACATTGTGGAAGAATATCAATTTTTGTACAATTCCCTGGGAAAGTTATACAACCACTAACATCGAAAACACAATTGTATTACCAATTAAAGCAAATTTCTTTTGAAATGACATAATTGGAAGTCAAATGCTCGCATTTTCTAACTTCACAACGATTAGTTGATGAATTATATCCACATTTACTTCCATTCTAATTAGTTGATGAATTACAAAAGGATTCTACCTGCTAGCTGCATGAAGTCATTGATAAACAACAATCACAAGTTGTATCATACCTGTATGAAGTTGAATAGTCTTAACATTGTTTCCTTTTATCTGTGAGGGTCGCTGAAGAAGTAAAGGTATAGTTTTTTTACGCTGTTTATACGAGGCATTAATTATTGCAATCAGCGCATTAATACGAATAGTAACATAATTACCCACCCTGTGTTTTCTAACCATCACAATTATTATAAGAAGGATATTTGTACGAACAGCTATGATCGTAACGACATTTATCAGAATAGCTACATTTATAATTATTCCTCATGATGGCATTGTTGCAAATCTTATCTGATAAATCATAACATGAATATTGAGAATAGCATCCTTACCCACTGGGCTGAAGAGCGCAAATGGGATTATATAATTAACAATACTCATTACTTTTGCTTTCAGTAATTACCTCACATTGGGATGCTGATACTACTTAACATTTAGAATTATAATAATAGCATTTATCATTTTAAATTGTAAGAGTTAATTTACATATCACAGCATCTGTAATACTCCCACAGAATGTGGGTCTATTTTCACAACCAGGCCCATAAGTCCCATTAGACTTAATCTTCAATTGACATTAGTTAAGTCTCCTGAACATTAAACATTCAGCCTCAGTTTAAGCGGTAGTATTATCAGCACAAACTCTATCCTTACATTTTTAATTCAAATTATCCCATTTGCAAGGTTGATATTAATTAGTGATCTCACATTATTGTTTATATCGATAATCACAATTCGATGAAAGAGATTAACAGGATTTAACAATATTATTTATTGTACATTTAGGCAAGAATTCTTAACAATCCTAGTGAGTTACGTCTCCATAAAGTCTCTTATGACAATCAGCAACTCCATTATTATCTTAGTCTTCATTCATACATTTTTGTTCTTTGTCATCCCAATAACAAAATAATCCATTTAGAGTGGTCTTACAATTCCTTTCCCTGATAAACCCATCACAAGTTGCTTTTTTTATTTCACATCCTTCAGCACTAAAGGAGGAAACTACAGTACATTTAGGATTCCATGCATTACATTCCTGATGATTATCATACATGCTAATGCTTGGAGAAGATGAGCAACTTATTGAATCGATTCGGTCTTTACATCCACCCAGTACATGATCAAAAATACAATTATTAAACCAGCTGTTACATTCAACATTATTGGTGTAATTCATTTTAGGAGCATCTGCACATTATTATTTCTTACAATAGGTCCCAGTCCAAAAACACATTGTTTAATCTTATAGGTTCAACTGACATTGTTATTGATTTAGCATTCTAGTGCAATTATTTGGCCATATTTGACATCCAACTCCAGAAGCCCCTATAATGCAAGGTCCTTGTAACACCTTAAATGAATTGCAATCCTCATTTGTTAAATACAAGCTAGGATTTGCATCAGTGCAAAGTTGATCATAACATTTCTTACTACTTTGATCCCATTTACACAACAATCCTGATAATGTACTATAGCATTGATCTTGAATTGAGAGTGCACAAGTGCTCTTTTTATCCATGCACCCAATCAAGAGTTTTTAATTTGATAAAATTTATACATTTACCGTGCATTATGGCATCCACCCTTCGCATTTTAAATTAGTATCATAAGATGGAGGAGCAGTATTGCATTTCTTTTCTACGCAACCTTAATTGATTGTGCAGACTGTACCATTAGAATCAATTGTACAATATTCTATCTCTAAAACATTTTCACACAAATAATCTGTACATCCCAAAGAGTCTAAATTAAATGTGCAATATTAACTTGCCATTTAGCATATTTTATGACTATTGTAGTTTGGCAATTTCATTTTCTTACATTCTAACAATTCACACTTACCCTCAATCCAAATGCACCTTTCTTTGTTATAGTTTACTTCACAAAACTATTTCTGCAATATCTCTTCGCATAATTATGGAGTCACTTAACACCCTCCATTTAGTTTCCCGATACAATTTCCATATTCTTTACAATCTGTGTAAGTATAATGAACTGGAGCATGATAACATTATCTTGATTCGCATTTTCCTTTGTACCACTCACAATCTTATTATTCTAATGATTTGCAATCCGTCTCATAAACATAACCATCACATGTCTAAGGTCTAATTTTACATCCTTTCTTTTCTGAAGTAACACAATCCAATTGATTGTCATAATCTTAACATTGTAGATAATTCGTAAGAGACTCAGGAGCAGTGCTGCAACTCTTGATTTTACATTTATTTTAATGATATTCACATTTTTTACCTGAAGCATCTGTCCCACAACTAAATTTATTCTCAGCATCTTCACACTACTTCCTTGTTACACAATGAACTCCATTAGTTGTACATTAACTTAAATACAACTTACATTCATAATCCTAAGTAAATGGTAAATTTTCACACACTTTTTCAACACAATTATTATTTTTAGAATCCCAAAAACAATTAAGTTTTTTTGATTTACTTTCAAAGCATTAAAAATTATTTTAATATTACGTACAAGACTCCATTAACTCTATACATCCGTAGCCCTTCTCACTTATAGTACATCCGTCTAGACCTGATTTACATGTCTAATGGTCAGTTAAATATAGAGGCAACTCCTCACACATTGTGACATTTCTACATTTTTTCTCTAATCCTCCAATCCAAACACAGTACTTACCATGCTAATTTTTATTCGCACATGCATTCTCAGTTGTATAATCACTACAATCTTATATTTCCACACACTTTGAACCATCAGAAACACATTTATAAGACGATTCTTAACAATTATCTTTATCAAAATTGTTGCAACCCAAGAAATCAATACATTCCCCAAAATAAAATCCACACTACTCCTATTCTCTGCAATCTTCCTATGCATAGCTTTTGCATGGATTCTAATTATTTATCTCTGTATTATATGATTGATTGGCATTTAAATAACACTAATCATTTTACCAGATGCAAAAACCAGAGTTTTTGCAGTCTTTTTAACTTTGAACATGACCACAAACACATCTTTTGGAAATCTCTAAACTCCTTACTACACATAATTGGAGTAACAAAAACATATAGTGCATAATGAAAATCATTTAATTCTTATTTAAATCTAATTAAAATATCTTAATTTCAATATTTCATTCCCATATTTTTAAGGAATTAATTCAATTTTTTTAATCAATTCTGTTTTGGGAATTAATATTATATTTATGAAAATAGAATGTTCATGGAAATACTTCATTTTTTCAATTTTATTTTATTTATTTAAAACATTTTACTCATTAATAAATTCATTGAATTTCAATTAAATTCATTTTTTGAACAACAAAGTTTATATTTAAGAATTAGTTTGAAAAATTAATTAATTGAATCTTTAGTATATGCTACTTAATTCCAATCATTTTTTAAATGACATTCCCAAATGTTATAAACAATTCATTCTAAGTTTTTCTGAATTATTTTATTATTAAAATAATTCATTAAAAATAAAAAAATTATCAACCTTGAGAATTGAACTTGGCTTTAAAGCAACATTTTACCTCTAAACTAATTGATGTAAATTTAAGCAAATAATAGAAAAAGTTAAAATAGATTTTGTTATATTTTTCTCAACTTCAATCAATTTGAATGCATAGAAATAAATAAATTTGAGAAATCAATATAGAATTGCTTTTTATTAAATTTCAAATGTAATGTGGGATATATACCTGTAATGTTATCAGCAACGTTCACTAAGAATTTTGAATAGTCACAATTTTTGAGTTAAGTAAACATCAATTTTAAATATTATCTTTCGCTATATCCTTGCTATAATGGGGAAATACGAAATAATAATAACATTTTTTGAAACTTCCAATATCTTTATACAATTATATAAAGAAGTCATATTAGTAATTTTGTAAAATAAACATCAAAAATATACTACTTAATTAAAAATAATTTAATGCTCTAGAATCAAAAAACAAGTTCCTTATTAAAATTGAATTCTAATTCTAAAATACACCAAGAGGAAAATGATAAGTTATTTAAGGATTTGTTAAATTTAAGTTGAAATTGAATCAAATAAATAAAAAGGAATATGCTAAGGAATAGCCTATAATTCAAGCAGCACATCGAACACTTTTGGATAGCATTAGATCACAATATTACGTTTTACCTTAAATGAGTAGGAAAAGGTATTATTTATTGATGGTTTTAAATCTGAATTAAGTGACCTATGTCTAATCTGTGCAGATACATGCATTTTTAATTTTTACTCTAGTTGAATATTTCTGAAAATTAATTGGTACCTTGTAGTAAAAAATAATTATTTGGTGAAAAAATGGAAATTTGGTTATGTTGTTATAGTTTCTAAACTTTACAAATTAATATACTGAAAAATATTCCTGTCTAAAAAATTTCTCTTGTTTATAATTGATATCATTTTCCTTTAATATCTAAGCATTTATTTTGTACTAAGTCTATAGCCTTTGTTTTATATTAATAGATTTATATTTTAATCAAGATAATTACATACTAATTAATTATAGTCAGTTTTTCACTAATTATATTATCTCTCTACTCCTTTTTAAACAAGCATAAAAACTTACTGGAATGATAGCTTTGGTGGTACTACAACAATTTATACATGCATATAGGTTTTTTTAAGAGTTAAAAGAGAACTTGAAATATTATCATTAAATTCTGCTGGCTTATGGGAATAGAAAAGTGAATTCTTAATTAATTAAAATTGGAATCATTTCGCATTTCGGTTAATGATTTATATTCATTTTAATTTCTGAAAATTGGATAGGTTTTCATAAATTCCTTATTCACAAACCTCCTTTATAATTAATTTCCAAATGAGGAACTAGTTCTAATTCATATATTTTAATTTTAACCTTACTATCACAGAACTTAAAAGTGAAAGAATTTAACAATGTTAAACTTCTACAAGTTTGGAAATAAAACCCATAACCAAACAAACAGGATAGTATGTTGACTGCTTATAAACAAGTTTGGCTATTCGATATTTAGAAATTTAGTAAAATTGTGGAAGATGGAATTGGAAAAGTGCAAATTGTTTTTAAATAATCAAAATTATTTGTTTTTATAATTCCTTATCAAAATTGATGATTGAAATGGTTACCAAATCTTATAAAAAACATGACTATAATAGTTATTTAATCAGAAAAAAGCTTTCTCAAAATGGTGAACTGAAGGAATGTGTAGATTTTTTCTGAGAACGGGTCTATAATTGTCATATCTATTTTTTTCTATAAATTTATTCAATATTTCATAAATATAGAATTTATAAATAGATGTTATTCATAATCATTACCATTTATGAATTAATGAAAAAATTCGGAATAATGAATAAAAAGACTTTAAAAATTATTTATTTATTAAGATCTATATTTTATAGTAATTTTAAATGAAATCAGAAGTAAAAAATAATGGGCCAGGAATTGTAATTAGGTTAAGCTCAGATCAAATCTATATCCAATAAGCTCTATGGGATATGGTGAGTCGTAGGGAGAAGTAAATTACAAGGGAAAGAATATTATCAGTTTATTTTGTGATAATTGAGATAACTCATAGCCATGTTGTGGTTAAAAGTATTAGAACATAAAAACTTAATAGCACATTAGTGGGAGTGTTATGTAAGGTAAAAGAAGTTCTGAATTAGTCACTCTTCAAAAATTTGATGGTATTTTTGTTTTAATATGATTGACAATGTTTAGGAAATGTTTGTTTTAAGTGGCAAAGTCATTATGTTTTGATATGATATTTTGCAGCATACTCTTCCTATTCCAAATATTATTTTTGTAAAAAAACCAATCATCCCTAACGGAAACTATTCGAAAGTGCTTTATTTAGGCATTAGTTAAAAAGGTTATCATTTTCAGCAAACTATCTATTTTTTAGTTCAATCTGTAAAGCCATTAAGACAAGGAGAGAAATTTGAAGGCAATCTTTAGAGAGCAATCCTAGGGCAAGAATTTGCATAATACTTCTAAAAGACCAAAATGATGGCCTAAAAAAATCTATAAGCTTAATTCTAATACTAAAAATAAAATATTTGGAGTGATCAAAGCCCACACTGTTTTCAAACATTTGAAAACTAATATAGACGTCGGATGTTGCTACAGGGATACAATCATTGAACCCTAACATTTTACCCTAGAAAATTGCTTTACAATATCGCGAGTGTGGGAGATTTACCACATTGAGATTTTCTATAGATTTAATAAGTTCTATATCAAAAAAGTGCTCCAAAGAAAATTTTTTTGACATTGCTATTGTGAAAATTTAAGTTGCTTAGTTGAATAATCAAAATTACATCAACTTGAGAGGTATTTATGGTTTGGGATAGGTGCAGCCAATATTATCTTTTGATGATTGGCTAAACAGTGCCACTAAAGGATAATTACAAAATGAATCCTCCTAGCAGACAATTTTTACATTTCTTATGAGATCTATGGCGAGTAATATCAATCAAGGATTCCAAAATGCTACGAGATTCTTAGTATGAAAAATAGGGTATTGGAATACATTCGACTACTCTACTTATCCTAAGGCAGAAGTTAGAAAAACTACTAGAAATGGAATTTTAAGGCGTAACAGGATTCTGCGTTAGTAGCGTTAAGAATTTGATGATAAAGTTTCTATTCTGAGTATATGTGTATGAAACAGAACGCGGCTTTGTAAATTAAATAATTTGAAAAAAAAAATTCANTTGTTAGAAGCTCCTAAACGAAATCTCACTCTCTTCCTTTTGTCACTGACCAGTTAGGCATCATCGTGATCTCACTAAGTCTATCTCAGTCCTCAGGCATCAGAATGGACCTAGGAGGAATGTCCTCGGAACAAGCTAATAATGATGTCATCAGCGAAAATTTTTAATTTAATTTTTGATTTTGATGTTTCAAATGAGAAAACAAATGTGATAGTCTGTGTGGTACTGATAAATATTTAGATATTGACCCAAGTGAAATGACAAAAGTTAACTTTGTGGAAGAATTTTGTTTTACTCTCATTTGAATGAGGCAAAGAATAAATGTTGTAGCTTATTCCAATTCAATAGTAATCTCCATATTATTTGCTTTTTCACGCACTTCTTAATACGTTTTATAATTCTTTGAATCAAATTCTGATAATATCTTAAACGACAAAATAGAACGAATTTAGTAACTCTGCTAGAAGGTATCGAATTTGATCTTGTAAATCTATTTAATATAATCATTACCATTTATGAATTAATGAAAAAATTCGGAATAATGAATAAAAAGACTTTAAAAATTATTTATTTATTAAGATCTATATTTTATAGTAATTTTAAATGAAATCAGAAGTAAAAAATAATGGGCCAGGAATTGTAATTAGGTTAAGCTCAGATCAAATCTATATCCAATAAGCTCTATGGGATATGGTGAGTCGTAGGGAGAAGTAAATTACAAGGGAAAGAATATTATCAGTTTATTTTGTGATAATTGAGATAACTCATAGCCATGTTGTGGTTAAAAGTATTAGAACATAAAAACTTAATAGCACATTAGTGGGAGTGTTATGTAAGGTAAAAGAAGTTCTGAATTAGTCACTCTTCAAAAATTTGATGGTATTTTTGTTTTAATATGATTGACAATGTTTAGGAAATGTTTGTTTTAAGTGGCAAAGTCATTATGTTTTGATATGATATTTTGCAGCATACTCTTCCTATTCCAAATATTATTTTTGTAAAAAAACCAATCATCCCTAACGGAAACTATTCGAAAGTGCTTTATTTAGGCATTAGTTAAAAAGGTTATCATTTTCAGCAAACTATCTATTTTTTAGTTCAATCTGTAAAGCCATTAAGACAAGGAGAGAAATTTGAAGGCAATCTTTAGAGAGCAATCCTAGGGCAAGAATTTGCATAATACTTCTAAAAGACCAAAATGATGGCCTAAAAAAATCTATAAGCTTAATTCTAATACTAAAAATAAAATATTTGGAGTGATCAAAGCCCACACTGTTTTCAAACATTTGAAAACTAATATAGACGTCGGATGTTGCTACAGGGATACAATCATTGAACCCTAACATTTTACCCTAGAAAATTGCTTTACAATATCGCGAGTGTGGGAGATTTACCACATTGAGATTTTCTATAGATTTAATAAGTTCTATATCAAAAAAGTGCTCCAAAGAAAATTTTTTTGACATTGCTATTGTGAAAATTTAAGTTGCTTAGTTGAATAATCAAAATTACATCAACTTGAGAGGTATTTATGGTTTGGGATAGGTGCAGCCAATATTATCTTTTGATGATTGGCTAAACAGTGCCACTAAAGGATAATTACAAAATGAATCCTCCTAGCAGACAATTTTTACATTTCTTATGAGATCTATGGCGAGTAATATCAATCAAGGATTCCAAAATGCTACGAGATTCTTAGTATGAAAAATAGGGTATTGGAATACATTCGACTACTCTACTTATCCTAAGGCAGAAGTTAGAAAAACTACTAGAAATGGAATTTTAAGGCGTAACAGGATTCTGCGTTAGTAGCGTTAAGAATTTGATGATAAAGTTTCTATTCTGAGTATATGTGTATGAAACAGAACGCGGCTTTGTAAATTAAATAATTTGAAAAAAAAAATTCAGGCTTTGGTAGTTCTAGTTTGTATTGAGACAGAATATGATTTTGCACTATCTGAAAATATTTTAATTTTGGTTTATTTTGTTAAATAATATGCTAATCGAATTTAAAAGAATTTTTGTTGTTGATGGATTAAATTATGCTTAGCAAAAATCTGAATTATGTTAAAAGATGCATCACATATTATAGAAGAAAAATATATAATGAAAAAATGAAGATCTCCAAGATTGAAGACTGGAAATTATAGCATTAGCCTAATTAGCGGTGGTTAGTACCATATTTCTAACTTATTTGCTAGTTGGCTAAGTTCCTGTTTTTTTTATAGCAACAATTTTTTGTTAATCTAATGTCGAGAAATGAGCCATAAGAAAACGGATCAAAAATTAGTTTTCCTTTGTCAAAGTGATCAATTAAAAAAAAATCGACCCTTGTTTTCATCATAACCATTTTTGTGAAAAATTTAGAAGTATTCCAACCATATTTATGGCAATCGCCTTCTTTAAAAAAGATAGAACTTGGTCAACTCTAAAAACTTCCAAATTATTATATTATATTATATTAAAAAAGACCAAACTACTTTTTATATAAGTCTAAAATTCCGAAGCATGATAAGAAATAAAAAAGAATAATAATGTCATGGTTGATTAAATTGTTACTCATTTCATAAGCAATAGGTATAAATGACTAATCGGATTATTAATACATTTTTGGAATCGGGACTAATATATGCCCTGATTTACATGTGTTTATGCCTGATATGCACCCTCACTAATGCGTTTGTAGGTATTTGTGCTATCCATAGCTTATGCTTCCGTTTGCAAAGATGTTACAGAGGTAAAAATTGTAACTGTGACAAATTCAACTTAATATGTGTGCCACCCAAGATTTTAACCATGGGGCGCAGGAACTCCAACCATAAGCGGAAATATAATTCATTGTGGTTACGCTTATGGCATCTCATTAGTATTGGAGAAGCAAATAGATGGACACTATAAATATTATTGTAAAGGTAAACATTTTTAATATTTTTTTTAGATTTTACTACCTATACAGACGACTACAAGAGATGCTTGATATTTGCAAAATACCCTTCACTTGGCATTTATAGATGTCAAATTTGTAAACGGCCTTTTTATGGATACTTATGTGGTGAAGTTGAGAAATTTTACGATTAACATACGACTGACCCCCCCTTAAGTAATTTAGATCCTAAAATTTAAAGTGTGTCCTGACTAGTGTCTTGAATGTTCACTTTCTAATAATAGTCTAAAGTGTAATGTATGTAGTCCTGGATTTGCAAAAACAAGTTCAGATGATTTTGCATGCTAACTGAGTAATTAGAAATATTACTTTGTAGATTGCTAAGGACATACTAGTTGCAAACTAAGTTAGACTAAGGATATGATTTACAGTGAAGAATGCATAGTTGGATATAAAAAGTCTTTTTCATACTGTGTTGGTATATCTAATGAATGGTATTTTATAGGTCCGTATCCCCCTTGTGCTATTCCTATTTAAAGTGAAATTTATTGTGGGAAATGCTTTGAAGGATTTTATTTGGTATAGGATTTTTTAGATAAATCCGACTTTGTTCGATGCTAAAGTTTCGACTGGCATTGTTCCCCAACACAATAAACAGTGGAGAAAAAATTAGTAAATGGAAATCAATAAAAATTTAGAGTAATGCAATTACCTTATAAATAGGCAGTGTGTTAATTATGTGATCCAGGATTCATTCCAAATGTTGATGACATTAATTTTTTTGCCAGCTGCAATAGTAAAATTATCCTAAATCCCATTTAGATGTTAGATTTTCCGTATCACAATGCTCCCTGTTAGATCTGTAAGAAAAGAATTGTATTGCATGTTTTTAAGGGTATGCGCTACAAGCAGATGGAACATGCATTTAGATGTAGTGCGATTCACTTTGTTCGACTTGTTTGGATACAAATCCAAGTTATTGTACGACATGTGATGTTTCGGAAAATAAAATAGCTGATAATGGTATCTGCCTGTGCTTAACAGGCTTTGGGAAATAACAAGATAACTGCTTAGCTTGTACTGAGGGTTATTGTGAAAGTTGTGATAGGAAGGACTTTTATTCATGTAATTCTTGTAAATCGGGAAAGAACAGAATACTAGTGAATAAAGAATGTGTTTGTTTAACTGGTTATTATGATCCTGGAAATGAGGATTAAGTTTGTCTTCGTAAATTTGTTAAGTCATTAATTAGCCTGTGATTTAACTTGTGTTAATTGTTCTGGCGGAACAAACTAAGATTGTACTGAATGTCCAGATTAAAGCCTTTCGAATAGAGTTAGAATTGAGAATTCTTGTCCTTGTCAATTTGGATATACAGATTTTGTAATTTAAGAATCTAAATGCGGAAGTTTTACCTAAATTTAATTTAGAATGCCATCCAAAATGTTAAGCGTGTTTCCAACCAGCTGACGAAACTACGAATTAATATTGTCTAACATGTATACCTGGCTAAAATCGGGTTGTTTCTGAAACTTTTCAATGCGAATGCGAGGTTAATGCAGGTGATCTTAATGGCACTTTGGACGTTTGCATTAGTATATTTCTTAATTACACATAGTTTGTCATTATACATGTGGAAACTGTAACGGTACTGGACACACTGATTGTGTTTCATGCTCAGTAAGCTCTAACAGGGAATTGACAACTTCAAACGAATGCTTGTGTAAATAATCATATTATGATGACGATACAGAAAATATAGATTGTCAAAGTATCCTATTAAATTTTAGAACTAGAATGCTATTACACATGTGTTACATGTGCAAAAAGCACTGAAAAAGATGCTTGCGTAGAATGTCCTCTAACCAGAAAACCGAGTGTATCTGGTAGTTAATTTGAATGTATCTGCGATTCTTAAAATTATTTTGATGACGGCTTTTCGCTGCTGTGTCAATAATGTGACATAAATTGTTTAACTTGTAATGGTCCTCTTTCATCGAATTGTCTGACATGCGATACAAATTATAGACTATTGGATTTATCTTCTTGCATATGCCCATAAGGGCATTATGATATTGGATAATTAGAATGTGCAAGTAATTTTTAGGAAATATTATAGAATGTCATTATTCTTGTCAATTATGCTTTGATAACACTTTAGATGGATGCATTGCTTGCTCCTTTGAGTCTAATTTTAGAATATTAAAAGGCAACAATTGTAAATGTATCGATGGCTATTATGAAGAGGATGGGAAGGCTTAGTGTAAAAGTAACTTTTCTGATTATTAATCATCTATTAGAATGTTCATATAAATGCGAAATGTGCTAAACCGGAGCAGAAAAATGCTTGAGTTGCCCATTAAATTCGTTGCGAGTTATTGATCCAGTAAAGGGGTGCTACTGTCCAGGAGAATATTATGAAAAAGAAAACGAAGTTATTTGTTAAGGTAAGATTTATCAATATAGAAGTATGCCATTTCAAATGTAAATCATGTAATGGAAAGAGTTAAAATAATTGCCTCTCATGCGATTCCGTTGCTTTTAGAGAATTGAAAGGTAATGAATGCCCTTGCTAACCACATTACTTTGAGATGGAAGTTTAGGAGTGCACTTGTAAACTATATTTATTTAAGATGTAGCTTGTAGTGCGCTCTGTTATGAATGTGATGGCAATTTTGAAAATTGTACTTCATGCAATGATGATAGATATCTATTGGGCAATACATGCAAATGTACTACGAAATTAAATGGGGGAATAATAAGTACATTTGAATATAATGGGATGATAAAGTGCTAAAGTATATAATCAAGCTAATTAGAATGTCACTATTCATGTGGAACATGTGGAGGAATTGAAGAAGGGAATTGTATTACGTGCATGGATACTGAACAAAGACTGTAAGAAGGAAATACTTGTGTATGTAAAGAAGGATATTTTGATGCAGGATTGCCTGCTTGCTAAAGTATTCAAATTATTTATCAATAGAGTGCAGTTATCAATGTCAAGGGTGTTTGAAGTAATCGGAAAGATGTACTTCTTGTCCGGATAATAGTTTCAGAGAATATATACCTGGTTTCAATAAATGCCAATGCATTCAAAAATATTATGATGATGGATTGAGCGAGGTTTGCAAAAGTAATTATGTTTATTGATCATTTTAAGAATGCCATTATTCATGCCTAAGATGCACTGAATTTGAAACTAAATGCGAAATATGTTCAAGTGAATAAAACAGAATTTACAATGATTTGTTCTTTACTTGCGATTGCAACGTTGGATACTATGACATTGGGATAGAAAAATGTTAAGATTGTCACTATTCTTGTTTATCGTGTAATTCTGGAGATGCCAATTCTTGTACTTCTTGTGTCCAACTCAGTGATTCAAATAGGGTATTTTATCATAACACATGCAAATGTTTATTTGGATATTTTGACGATGGAAAATCGACATAATGTTAATAATGCGATATTTAATGTTTAAGTTGTGCTTAACAATCTTACTTATGTTTGTCCTGTCCTGAAACAAGAAGAATAGAAACAAATTGTAAATGTGAGTTGGGGTATTATGATATTGGTTTGTAAATTTGTTCTAAATGCAATTCTAATTGCCTTACTTGTGAAACTTCGTCAACCCGATGCACATCATGTAGTTCTAACTAATTTAGAGAGCTTAACTTAGTCACATTTATTTGTGATTGCTCGCAAGGTTATATAGAAATTAATGGAATATGTGAATAATGCCATCACAGTTGTACAACTTGTTCTTAAACTATAAATAAATGTAGTTCTTGCGTTTAATATCGAAAGCTTATAAATAATAATTGTATTTGTAATGATGGAATGTTTGAATCAAATGTGGACTAATTATGTAAATTATGCGATAAGACTTGTTTAACTTGTACTAATTCTAATTAGAACTGCTTAACATGCTCTATTGAAAATTTCAGACAATTTAAGTCGGGAAACATTTGTGAATGCATACAAGGATATTTTGAAAATCCAATAACTCTCAATTGTGAATAATGTTCAAGTTCCTGTTTGACATGTACTCTATTAAGGGATAATTGCTAGAGTTGCAATTCTATTCATAATTTAGCTTTAGTTAATGGCAAATGCGTCTGTGCACAATCATATTATTTTGATTCCTTGACCTCTTCATGCTTATGTAACATTGTAACAATATATCTAGAATGCAATATTACCTGCCTAGAATGTTAATAAAGTGATGAATGCACTGAATGCAGATTGACAACAAGACATTATAGCGGAGATCAAAAGAAGTGCTTATGTAATGATGGATATTATGAGACAAATTAATAACATTGCTAATGTAATTGAAAATGAAATTGATTTTAGCATGTCATTTTACTTGTAATACTTGTGAAAATGTGAATACAAATTGTTTAACATGCTTAAGCGAGTACAATAGAATATTAGCTAATAATAATTGCTTGTGTTTAGATGGATATTATGATGCAGGCATTGAAATGTGTTTAAAATGTAATACTCTTTGTAAAACCTGTTAAACATCTGCTTTCTCTTGCTTATCTTGTTACGAAATTGAACATGTGAGGTATTATTCAGGACATCAATGCATCTGCAAATCTGGATATTATGAATAAAATACAGAGATATGTTTAAGTAATTCATTCACTAATTATGTAGAATGCTCAAATGAATGCTTAACTTGTTAAGGCTCTGCTAACTATTGTACCAGCTGTGATACTAATTAAAACCGAATCGATCAATCTATTATTCATAAATGTCCTTGTATTACAGGATTTTATGAAGATCAGAATTAGAATTGTTAAAGTAAATCATCAAATTAAATATATAGAATGTCATATCAAATGTTAGAGTTGTGTGAATGAAAGTGATCAATGTTTAAGTTGTAAAATTTAATTAAACTCTAAACGATTGGCTTTATCATAATAATGTAATTGTTAAGAAGGGTATTTTGATGATGGAACATAACTAAAATGCTAACCATGTAGTTTCAAATGTAAAACTTGTTAAATTGAAGAGAATAATTGTTAACTTTGTTCTCTAATTATACGAATTAATCCTCCAACATGCAATTGTATGGATGGATATTATGAGGATGAGTAATTCATGTGTTTAAGTAATGTTTATTATTTCTATTCCAGGTTGTGCTTCTCAATGCAGTACATGTATAATAGAAGCAGACAATTGTTTAAGTTGCAATCAAGGAAGAATTGGAAAGGATTGCAGTTGCATCGATGGGTATTTTGAGATCGGATAACTATTATGTGCATGTATTAATAATTGTTAATCATTTTTAGAGTGCGCATTCTAATGTGCTACTTGTTAGTTTGATCCTATAAATTGTCAGACTTGTAAAGGTGATAGGTTTCTAGAACCTTAATGCATCTGTTAATTAGGATATTTTGATGACCAAATTAATGAAAATTGCTAAAAATGTGATATGACCTGTAGAGAATGCAATATCATTGGATGCATAACTTGCTCCGGCAATAGAATATTAAATGAAGATATGGATTGCCTTCCTCCTCCATCCTCAATTTCTTATGATACTACTCCTTGGTGTTCAAGTATATTTTGTTTTATATATAAATATAGATTGTGAAGTTGCTGTTATTAACTCATACTTATCAGATGATCTATCAAATATTATAATCCATTTTGATTTTCCTTTAAATCCGCAGAACTTTATCTCATAATTTAATGTTAATAAATGTTTGTAAATATTTGAAATAGAATTTGTGAAAAAGTTAGGTTAAAATTCTGTTTGCTATCTTAATCCTGATAATAATTAAGAACTATTAATTTAACTAGGTGAAAATTAGTAAATAGAAGTTGGCGAGACAATACTATTTAAAAGTAATGCTTTATCTCATATTCATTGCGACACTACTTTATAATTATATATCTTAACTTCATTAGAAATGCCAATAAATCCACTCCCTCCATAAATTTAATATAATGTACCTTTACATAAACTCAATCCTCTAGCTGATAATTTAGTTTAAATAAAATCAATCAAAAACAATGGAAATAGAAAATTAAATTCTATAATATGGAGTTGTCAGGTGAAAGCTGCTGATGAAAGCCCTACTCTTAACTAAGATTTAGATGTACTGAATTTTGCTTAAGAATATAATTTATAGTTACCTAAATTTACATTACCAAAAGATTCAGAAATTACATTTAAAATCTAATTTGAAAATTTTATCCATATTACTTCCTATTCAGAATTTACTATATAGACTCATTCAGGAACTTTTCCTTAAATTAATGTTAATGTAAAACCCTCATATTTTGTTTATTAGACAATATAAATTGATGTTTCTGCTGAAAGCTTAGATTCATCAAAAGAAAATCCAAAATTTTAGATTTAAATAAATGAAATAGATAAAAATCCTTAAGATTCAAATCCCTCATTAATGAACGTATCACTCTAGTCGAATTCCAAAGAAATTATTCATTAAACTATTCCTAAATACACTTTGAGCCCAAATTCAACATATACATTTTTAGTGACTGCAACTAATTTAATTACTAATCAACTCCAATCTGAAAATTTCACTGTTAATATTCCATTAGCTGGATTTACCTGTTAATTCAACAATCTAGGAATGTAAAGTATAAGAAAAGATCTAAATCTTGAAATAAAATGCAAAGATTTAGACACAACATTTGATTGGAACAATGATCCAAATTTGTCCATTTTAGTCGATTGTAAGGATATATAAATGAACAGCACATGCTAAACTTATCAAAAGCAAGCCATTAATGTTAATTAGACTGCCCCTAATTAAATCATCAGAAAGAATTTGATTTCTGCCTTCACTGTTTAAGAATGGACTGTAACAGCTACAAAATTTTCACAAACTTAAGTGTTTTCTTAAATTATCATCTACATTGATGATAATTTTCCTAATTTAGACATAGAATTTAATCAAGGTTATTTAATGCGAAAAATAAATAATTATGAATTATTGAATTTTACTTTTATAATTCCATTTGCCTAAAAACCTCATCTGTTAGATCTAGAAATTGCAATTATTTATAATTATGAAATAATAGAAATACTGCAACCAAAGTACATTTCTCATTAATTTAAAGTATTTAATAGCATTAAGGAGCTTTAATTTGGTGATTAAATCAATATTAAATTTTCAGCTTAGTATACAGATAATATTATGCCAAGTCTTAACAATATTAAACTATTTCTAAACTAGCCTCCTTAATGCTCTAAATTATTGATTACAAATTCTAATAATTAAGCTCTAAGTGATATGGTAGTAATAAGTTCTTGCGATCAATCAGATGATGCTCCTTATAAATATCAACTGAAGTTATTTTTGAGAGACTCAGATTTAACATTATTCTTAGAAGGATAATCTGATAACTCTTTAGTTCTTTATCCATTTTAAACTTTAAATTAATTTTAACTTTAAACACCTTCATCTATAGACTTTTCAAAAATTGGAATTTTAGTATAAGTTCTTGACAATGGAGGATCAATGACCCAAATTTTTGAATAAATTGCTGTAAATCCTGCAAAAATCAATTGTACTTCAATTTAATTTAAGAATATGAATTTATAGCAGAAGATATCATTACTTTTTGAAGCCATGAATTAAAACTGTACAGAGCTTCATTCTTAAATTTATCTTAATTTGCAATAATAACCAATTTCAGATGATTAGAATGAGAATATTCTAAAATTTTAGACTTTAAAATTATATAAGCAGTCATTAACTTCGTCTAAAACATCTATAACATCAAATACTTCAACAAATGAAAGATGCATTGATATAAACTCAACTCATTTATTTGCTATTTAAAATTCAAATGAGCAGGAAGTTAATTTAACATCCAAAATTGAGGGCTTAAAAGAAAATATTCAAAATTTTAACAAAAATCTAAAATACCTTAGGGGAGCAAAATAATAATTTTAAGATTTGCTTGAACTAAATAAATACACATGGAATGAATAGGTCTTTCAACAGTATTAAAACTCAGTAGATTGTTTAAGAGGCTTAATATACTATATAGATGACATTTATTCAAATTTTTCACTAATAAACACAAAAAATGAAATTCTTTATTAAGCTATTGCCGAATTGTTACATTTCATTCCATTAATTGCTAAGGATACATAAAATGGAATAATGGTCAACAAAGATCCTGTCGCAATAAATGGAAATGAGATTACCTTTTAAATTAAAAGGAGATCAAAATCCTCATTCAATAAATAATTCAATCTTGAGCCGAGCATTGAAGATTTTCTTTTAGATTATGTCTAATTTGAATCACTTTAATTATAAACAAATCCATTAAGATTTAGTCCAGACCTATAAGAGCTACTCAAAATACAATTTAATGATTCAAAATTAGAAATATACTCTTAGAATTACTACCTAACATAATTATAAAATGTCTATAATAGTAAATTTACACCTTATGAAAATTTTTCATCTAAATACGCAACCAAATTTTTATCCTATTAAATATGCTTGAATACTACATAATTTATAGTCGAATCTGAAATATAATGTGCACTGAGAACTACCGCTGGACTATTTTATCAATGCCATCTATCTAGAATACAAAATAATGATTCTATACAGCTAACCTGTGAATGTAATAAGTTTGGCGAGATTTTCCTTTTAGCCTCTACAAATTTTGTTATTGCAAATGAAAGTGTAAATATTTAACCACAAAACGGCTCTCCAACCGCTCCCACTTCCGAAAATATTTTAGGGTTATAAATTTGTATGGGGTCTTTATCATTAATATCTATGTCCATATATGCAGTTTAAAAATATAAAGATTACAAAGAAGAGTAAAAAGTGTAGGATTCTAAAAAAATTATTTCTAATCCCTAGATAGATTTCAATTTAAACACATTGACTTATTAAGGAAATTTTAAAGTATTTAAGGATAAATTTAAGGTAAAATTACATTATTATATTAGCAAATTCATTAAACAATTTCACTATTTTGTTATAAAGACTAAAATATTTAACTCAGTTATCGAATTTTAGATGTCTTCTCTTAATTAAATTTATTATTAACTTTAGCAATCCTTGAATTTACAATGTTAGATATTTAAATAACTTTCTTCTGTATATTTATTACACTAAATCCAATTCTCGTTTTAATAATGAGAATGATTTATAAGATAATTGAAGCTATATATAGATTCTAAAGGATAGCTGCTTTCATTAGCCAGTTTCTTCTTATAGCGTTATTGATGACACCTAATCTAATCACATAAGTCCTTACAATAATGAAGTATGTAATATAAAATATTAGAATACCATTCTTACTTGAATAATATAAAATTGCAATAATCTTTGTAGGCAACCTCATCGTGTCATAAGTATTTTTAGAACCGCTAGTAATTTTTGGAAGAATTTTCATATATAGATTAATAGCAGGAAGTTTGAAAAAAATGGAACTCAACCCTATGTTTCACTTAATGCACTTTTTTGTGATGCATAGCAGTTTGGAGGAATTGTTTGAAGATTTCACAAGGATTTGATGCACAATTCAACATAAGATTATTTATGTTATTAATTATCTAAATGAAAAATTCACAAATCTCTGTATAAATTGCTTTATGGGAAACATACTCTAAATTTCTCTTTCTTTCACCTTTTTTAATTCAACTTTTTATAATAAGTGAAAAATTGCAATTTCTTTTCTATGAAAATATTGCAAACATGAATCAGATGTTATAAACAATTTTTTATCTCAATATTAATCCAGTAATCTATTTAGTAATAATAAAGATAAATTTGAATTTCACTTTGAAAATTTAATTCTAACTTTTTTTTCTGATTTAGCTTTCACTTTTAATGGATTTTGGAAAATCAAATTTTAGGTATTTTATAAGAAGTACTTAAATTATTTTTGATATATAGACTATTAAATATTTTTTAAACATTAGTCTGTGTGTTATTTTTTTTACTAAAAATAATTACTCTACACAAAAATTGAAAAATTTTCGGCGTTTTATAATTCCATCGACTTCTGCCTCGCCTGACCTTCCTTATAGATTTTTTAACAACCCATATAATAGCGCTGCTTACAAGATTAGGTATTATATAAAGTGGGTACAAATTATAACCTAAAATTTTGAAGACAAAACCTTCTTAGATAATGTCTTTCATCTGACTACTAGATTCATACTATTATTATAGTTCTTCTAAACATTAAATTCATTTATATAGCTTCTATTTTTGTATAAAGCGTCAACGAATAGTAAATGATTACATGATAGTTTATTTAGATCAGGAATATTTCAAAATTTATCCTAGATGATTTAAAGTAAATTATTCATATAACTCCGTTATTTCATTCAAGTCATTTTGTAATATTCAGTTTTGAAAGTTATTTAATTGATTCACAAATATTTTTGAGATATGTATTTATATTCTATGTTATATTTAAATAAATTTAATTAAATAAAAAAAATCGTTAACCTGGGTTTCGAACTTGAGTATGGCTTTCCTCTCCTTCTCAAAACAGAGTGATTAATATGTTTAATATTAATAAATCTTCTTTATGAAAATACAAAACTAAAAGAAGTTTTTATGACAATTCTTTTAATTTTAATTGAATTTACCATTTAATAAGATATCAAGAGGAGAAAGAATTTTTTTGGCATCTCCTCAAAAATAATCAAATACATACGTATTCTTATACAAAATAGGGTTGAATAAAATATAATATGAATATGTTATATAAGAAAATATATTTATCAAGAAAGGGTTAGAGGGAGCTGAATAGCTATGAATTGTATAATTAACATTTTAAAATAAATTAAATAATTTTATTACGATTACTAATTTGAACCTAAAGGATTCTAAATCTTCTTCTAATTTCACATTAAAAAATTTCCATTTTGTAATTGAATTGTGAATTATAAAATTGAAAATATCTTAACCAGATTACCGAAATTTTTTTTAATATTTTACCATTAAGATAAAATCAATTTTGTTTACCTAAGAATTATTCAGACTAAATAAATTTGCAATATTAGTTACTTTGAACAAATTCGGTTAAAATTCCTATTTTATCATATTTTTTCAATTTGAAATTTTTAGTTTAAATTATGACGGTTTTTGTTCAATCGTTTTCAATGATGTCTGTTTCTTTGGTTTATAAAGATATTACAAGTATGTATTTGAATGGGTTTTAATTTCTACTTTTTTATAGTTTATTTCTAATGACTGAGAAAATTTTCTAGCACAGCTCTTGAAAAATTTATTGCTGGCATCCTTCTGCAATGATAGTTGCGATCACCAAACCAAAATAATTCTAAAGAGGGGTGATGTAATAACAAGAAGGTTCATTATTGTTGTTAAAATTATTTCCCTAATTTCAAGTTGAAAAGTAGTCACTCATCTATAAATTTTAAATGGATATTTCGGTTTTAATAATTTTAATGGTACAAACCCATAATTTATAGAATGTAAGTAAATTTAAACCAAATTTCAACCAACCCTACTTTAAAAAAAAATATGAGGGAAGATACTTATTTCAACAAATGATAGATCGCACTAAGTACAAATTTAAAATTATTATGAATTTTAAAGATGAACAGAATTTAAAAATGATTTAATTTTTTACTAAAAAATGCTTATGATTTGAAGTAGATTCAACCCAAGTAATAGTTGTATAACCTGTAAAATTAAAAAACATGTTTTTCGAAAAATGAATAGATACCATTCGTTCACAACAACAGCATTATGCATTATAAGTCTCTTTTGGATTGGCAGTTCATGGAGCCTATTGATCTCATAAAATCAAATAGAGAAGAAAAACTTTTTCTTTTAAATTTCTGTTTTATTTCAAATTTTGAGCAATCCAAAGCTAACCAATCTAAACTAATCCTTTAGATTTATGGTTGGTTTAATTCTGAGTTGGTTTTTTAAATTCTCAATGAACATTAATTATTATCTGAATAGCAGTATGTTGTTTGATTTTTCATTAAATTATTATTTTATTTGATGAAATAACAATAATTAGTACCTTTTACTTCCTATCTGGAATTTACGACAACAAAACTAGACTTAAACATTCAGTAATACCCAAAAAAAACAGATCTAAAAAAGATTTATTATTGTAAAATAATAACGTAAGACGTTCTCTTTTTTTGTACTAATGCGAACCTTCTTGGCCATCCCAAAGTGCGAACATTTCAATCAATCTTCTTCATTAAGGGTTAGATCTAAAATATTGTAATTTTATAACACTAAACATAACAATGGAAAAATTAAAATGTTACCATAACTGAAATTGAAAACCATAAAAAATGAATTACCATCTGAGATAAGATTTTTTGATCACCTTGGCTATATGAATATTAAGAGGAGAATATTTTAACTTATGAATTATTAGATGTATCCAAAATAAAGTGATTGATACAGAAAAATTGAATGCTTAGATAAAGAGAATTATTCAAATTCAAGTCCAAATGTAAGAAGATTTCAGAGGTAAATATATTCAGGCACAGCTTTATTATAAATATTAATTTACAATATATATTAACTATGATATGTTTATTTTTAAACTTTAATCAAATATGTTTAGAATGAGAAAGTGAATTAGATGGTTATCAAATCGTACTTTGAAACCTTCAGCGCCAATATATGTGATTTTTCAGGTATAATTCCTTCATGATACCTAATTATTGCAGCTAAAAAAATGGAAACTACAGGATATCGATAAATGATTTAAATCCTCCTCATAATATTGATTATTGAATGTAGTGAAAAAAACATCCTCAAAAATATGAGCTTTGATATCACCTATTACTCTAAAGAGCTGAAATATGAAAGGAATTTTAACAAATATGTATTAAATTATTATTATTATCAATATCATTCTACAATGACAAGAGGTTGAGTAGCTATTTAAATGAGCGAGTGCCTTAATTTAAAAGCGAAGCCTATGAAGTCTTAATTAATTATTAACTCTATAGCACTTGGCTACTTTAATAATCTTAAAAACAGTGTATCTAGTTACAAACGAATATTTTTCAAATTTTTTGTATAATTTTTGCCAAAATTTATGCTTGTTGAGATTGTAGATATTTGTTAATTGAGTTCAAAATTGATATCGAATACTCTTTTCAAACAATAAAATATATTAAGTGTGTTTTTTCTTACCCCCATCTGATTTGCACTATAAATAGAATGAAAGGACATCCAAAAAATTCAAAAAAAAAAAATGAATTTCAAACAGAAACTAAGTATCTCGATAGTTCTAATCTAAATGACATTGCTTTAAGTAAACGGTGTGGATCCATGCAGCTCAAATTTTTAAAATTAATGTATATGTGGAACTTCTACAACGGCTGAATGTTCAAGCATCGACTACTGTGCAGATATCTCAGCTTCCTCTGGAAATTGTGTTGCTGCATGTAGTGGTGTAGTTGTAAGCAACTGCATTTGTGGATCATCAACCTAAACGTATTGTGATTCAAGTTCAATATGTTCTTCCGGTGTGTGCTCTCCGACTTGTTCAACAGCAGGATAATCAAATTGTATTTGTGGAGTTGACTAACAACTTTGTTCATCCACATATTGTGAAAATCCAAGTGCATTTTCTGGAATTTGTAAAGAAGCTTGCTCTTTATCAAAGTTATCTGATTGTTATTGTGGAACAACAACAAAAACATATTGTAGTTCAACTTAAAAATGTCAGAGTAATGCATGTGTAAGCAGCTGCACTACAGCATTTCAAGCAAATTGTAGTTGTGGAACTTCAACTCCAACAACTTGCGCTGCAAATACATATTGTAAAGATCCTAGTGCATCTATTGGAGTATGTTTATCTTCATGTGCGAATTCAAGCTCTACAGTTTGTCTTTGTGGAACATCTACATATTGTGCTGAATATTGCGATCCTTATAACTCTCCTCCTACATGTAGTTTTGCTGCAGTTGATTGCACCTCAGTAAATTAAACCAATTGCGTCTGTGGAACTACAACCCTGAAGTCATGTAGTGGAGGTAATAAATGTTTAGATCCAACTGCATCGACTGGAGTATGCGCAGGTAATTGTAGTCAATACTAATCTACTAACTGCTTCTGCGGAACTTCAAGTCCAACTTATTGTGCATCTCCAAATCAATGCTCTAGCAATACATGTGGTGGTAGTGCACCTTCAAATTGCTCATCTGCATTCCAAGCTAGCTGTTCCTGTGGTAGTTCTACAAAATCAACCTGCACTTCAACAACATATTGTGTTGATCCAAATGCATCTTCTGGAGTTTGTAAGTAAGCCTGCTCTGGTGGAACATTGTCTGATTGTATTTGTGGTTCTTCAAGTAAAGCTTATTGTGATTCAACCAAACAATGCTAAAGCAACTCATGTGTTACTTCAACTCAAAATTGCAGTTCAACGTTTTAATCAAACTGTTCCTGTGGTAGTTCAACAAAATCAACCTGCACTTCAACAACTTATTGTGTAGATCCAAGTGCATCTTCTGGAGTTTGCAAGTAAGCCTGTTCTGGTGGAACTGTATCAGATTGTATTTGTGGTACATCAAGTAAGGCCTATTGTGATTCAACCAAACAATGTTAAAGCGACTCATGTGTTTCACTACCAAATTGTTCCACAGCAAATTAAAATAATTGTTCTTGTGGAACTTCAACAAAAACAACATGCAGTTCAAGTACTTATTGTAAAGATCCAAATGCAGCAAGTGGAATTTGTCTTAATAAATGTTCTGGTTCAACAGCAAGTGATTGTATTTGTGGATAAACTACTTTGTCTTAGTGTAGCTCAACTTAGAGGTGTTAGGATAGTACGGCTGCTTCTGGAAATTGTTTGAGTATTTGTACGTCAAACTTTTAAAGTAATTGTTCTTGTGGGCAAAGTTAATATAATAATTGTGATGCCTCTAAATACTGCGCGAATGCATCTGCAGCTTCTGGTTAATGCTATGATAATTGTACTTCTAGTCTTAGATCATCATGTATTTGTGGAACCACCTCTAAATAAGGATGCTCTAATTCATAAACTTGTGAAGATTCTAATGCTAGTACTGGTAATTGCATTTCAATTCCAAGTTGTCTTAGTAATTTTGATAATTCCTGTTAATGTGGCACATCTTAAATTTCCCTATGTTCCTCATCCACTTATTGTAGTGATGTAAGCTAATCCACAGGAGTTTGCTTATAAAATTGCAATTAAAATTTAAAATAAAATTGCATTTGTGGAATTACTAATAAGGTTGCTTGTAATAATACTTAAACTTGCCAAACTGTAACTGATTTAAATGGGGTGTGTATTGAAAATTGTCAAAGAAATTTATAAAGTAACTGTTTGTGCGGTCATTCGGCAACACCATTTTGCGGTCAAAATGAACATTGCAGAGATTATAAATAGTTTATGGGAACTTGTGTTTAAGAATGTAACCAATTCTAAAATAACTGTGTATGCGGTACATCATATTATTCAGAATGTACATCTACAACGTATTGTTCTTCTAAATAAGAAGGTGTATGCTTAGAATAATGCTCGCACTCTCAGTAGTCAAGCTGTATATGTGGGATGAAAGTTAAATAGGTTTGTTCAAGTAATGAAAGCTGTGTTGATCCAAATGATGATAATGGCATTTGTAATTAAGGAATTTGCATGTAAAAATTTTAGTCTAATTGCACTTGTGGGGTTGTTAATTAAGTTAATTGCAACAAAACTTAATATTGTTTAGATTTTGCTGCCATAAATGGAAGTTGTTTTGAAAAATGCAAACCATACTAAAATAATTGTTTGTGCGGAATAGATAACTATGACCTATGTTTTGCTTCCACATACTGCTTATTATAATCTAGAGGCGTCTGTATGCCAGAATGCACTTCAACAGATCCTCGAAATTGCGTGGCCTTGTCTGATAATTCTGTATGTCAAGATTATTTGAGTACCATCTATAATGCCACCACTGGGAAATGTGTATCAAATTGTCCAGAAAATGGTTCAACTAATTGTTTCTGTGGGTTGATGTCAGCAAATATAGACTAGAAACAGATATGCTAATCAGGCTTTGAGTGCAAAAATGTTGCAACTTCATAAAGTGAGTGCGTTGAAAAATGTACAACAAATAAAAAATAAAGTTGCTATTGTGGATAAGATAAATCATCATATTGTGATGAAAAATAAACCTGTGCAGATCCCTCCTAATAAATTGGAGAATGTACAAATAATATTAGCGAGATTCAAAATGATTAACATTCAAAAATTATTCATTTTGGAATATGTGCAATAATTGTTTTTTCCTTCATCATATGAGATTAACAAAATTATTATATATTGCAAATATTATAATATCTACAATTTATGTTAAATTTTTTGCAATTTCTATATATTTCCTATGAAGATCTAATTTTTAACTATGGCTATCATCTAATATTCATAAAATCAAAACAATTGGTTGAATCATGGAATAACATTTTTAATTGCGAATTTAATGTTTCTATCTGATAAGATACAAATTGGTTAAGTTGATATTTTGAGTAAAATCAAGAAATTAGAATCTATGAATTTATATTATAAAATTTCGTTTTTACAATGCCTTTTTACAAAAGTTCTTTATTCTGTTAAATTTAAGTGAAAAAATTATCCCTTCGTTTTAGGGATACCATTATTTTTAATATCATGAGGATTATTGATAATAGGGTTTAGGATTAATTATATGTCAATATCGTGTGTTAAAGTATTAAATTGAATCAACTCTGCATTGCATAAATTATTGATCTATTCCCCAATAAATTCTAAGCCTTAAAATAAATAGTGATTTGGAAGGCTTTAATTTAAAATCATTCAGTTTACAATCTAATTAGGTTGTTATTTTATTGATTCTTTGAATAACTTAAATTATTAAATCAAATTTTCTTCGAATTCCCCAAGTAAACTTAGTTATATAGTTCGTCCACTATGAATAGAGCAGACACTTAAATTAAAATTAATATATAATCAATGATTATTAATTAATTAAAGAGAAAATTTTCTTATTAGCTTAATAAAGCAACACAAATTAATTAATAACTATTATTGCTTATGAGGATAGTAGATAACTCCATAACAATAAAGGTAGGTTAGAATATTAAACTAATTAATCAGAAAGTAAATAAAACTACATCATTGTGTAAGCTACTACTAGTTTGAGATAAAAAAATGATGAATTCTTTGTTAATTGCTTATTAAAAGAGACTTTTTCTATTGAAATCTTAAATTCCTATTTTTCAAGCAAAATTTAATTATATCAAAATAAAATTTGAATGTAAAATTAATATTTTTGTCATTGCTACCCTAATTATCCCTTTTCCACTCTTTCTTTGATCTTTTTTGGGTCTGGTGGCATTAAACTGAATTTAGCCACCACACTTTTGGAGATTCTTCTGAATTCTTTATAAGTGTCTTCATTTCCATGATGCAATTCAAAATTCTCCCAAGTTTTCCATAATCCAAAGTCATCAAATCTTGGGTCACTGAATTAAGAAATATGTATGTAGACAGCTCTGGCTCTATCTATTTCTCCAAATTTTCTTTCTAATTAAGCTAACCTTAATCCCATTTGTATTAATTCGGCTTCTTATAAATTTTCAATGGCACTTTCAAATACAGGTCTGGTTTTTGTAATTCCTAAATATAAAGCTACCTTGGCTATGTATATGTTGTAACTAAATAAATTATGATTTATACGCTTCCATTTTGTCCTAGTACTCAACGTTAAATACCATCCTATCATATATCTCAATGGCATGATTTAATAACCCATATTGTTCTTCAAATTCTCCATACATCAGATAGAATATTCGATTTTTCTAATAAAATATTTAATTATTACATCTTTCGGAACTTGCTCAATTACAGTCTCAAACAGATTTCTTGTTCTTTCAATTTTTTATCCTCTATATCTTTATATAAATTTAGTAATGTAAACAATCCATAAGTCATACAAGGCTGGCCAATCAAATAATTAGACACCCGCCTCAAATACTTTAAAGGATTCTTCATAGAATGCATTATCCTCTAGAAGTTAAGCATAATTAATAATAATAAATGGAGTGACAACTTTCAATTCAACCATCCGTTTATAGGCTGCTCTCAATGATTTAAAATTTCCAAAGTTCCTTTCTAAATCTAGATAGAGTTGCCACAGTTATAATGAATAGGGAACCATTTCAGATGGAGTCATTTTATCTAATTTTTTTATATACTTTTTAAATAACCCTTATTTGATGACTGAAAGTGAATCATTAACAAATCCATCTAGGAGTAATATTTCAACCCATTGAGACCAGAGATTAACATGTTCTTCAATATTTTTAAATTCTATTTTTGATCCCTTATAAAAGATTTAGTTGCAAGTCTTCCAATCTCCTTTGTCTCTGTAGTATTTAGCATAGGCTATCCAGATATCACTCAACTTTCCATTATCCGCTAGATTTGGCTCAACTATTTCAAGTGCTTCAGTGAATGTCTTCAAGGCCATTCTTTCATCCCTTTTGACTAATTCTATCCTTTTTAGCCACTCTTCAACATTATATTTGTTTTATCTCAATATACAGGAGTTTAATAGGATCGGCCTTCTTTCCAAAAGTTCATCTAATCTATCCATCTTTAGTAATAACTCGTCTTCGATTTGCACTTCATCATCTTATGATGGCTTCAATTTTAATAATTAATCTAATTTAGTTGATAATATTGTGTCATCAATATCATCGTGATTCTCATCATTCTCATCGAAATCTTCCAGCATTTGGATTATTGTCTCTTCATATTTAACATAAGCATTAAAAACCAAACTGAAATCTTTTACTGTCAATACATTATTGACAGCATCTTCAAATGTGTCTCTGGCTTATTCAAATTAGCCTGTTTTAATATAATAATCTGCCAATTTGATCCACAATTAACCAATCTCATCTGAATATTTCTTGATTCCAAACTTCATTATTGATGCCGCATCAATGGGCAGATCATTAGGGTGTCTAGCAATTATCTCACATAAGTATTTCATAAAGTCATATTTCGTTTTCCCGCTTGATGAGTTGAATTGATCATCATTTAAGATATCTACCAAAATTTAACATGCATTTCCCCACAATTACTTTGATACCAAGTAATCTAAGTATTCTTCTTTGTAATCAGGGTTTATCTTAATATATCTATTATAAATTGAAATTGCTGTCTTTATTGACTCTGTCTTCGATATCTGAAATGTAATTTTAATTCATACCCATTAGCAATACGCCTTCCAAATTCTATGATGTTGAGTGACTGGCAATGATTAAAGGGCTCTATCATACACATTTCTAGTGTGCGTGTATTTCTACAATGATGCACTATATTCAGCATACATCAACCATATGTTAGGCATTTTGTGCATATAGACCAATGCTCTTTCAAAATATGAAATCATCTCCTCAAATTTATTTGACAAAAATGTGCTTCTACCTCCCAAATCTTCAAGTTGTTCCTTTAAATAATTGAACCATAGTTTATAGCAATTTGGAATGTATTTAAAGGCTCTTTCATACAAGTCTATTCTAGTTGCATAAGGTTTATCTCGATGTGCCTATAATACAATCCACCAAGCTCTTAGAGTGAATCTTGAATATTATTCTTGCTGAGTATCAGGAGCAGCAAAAACGACTTCAAATTTTGAACTGCCCTTGACCTCTAATTATTCTAATTTATAGTGAAGCAATTGCGCATTCATTAATTTTTATAAAATTCAATTAATTTAATAATATTACTCATTCCCTCACACTCATCATTATTAAAAACAAAGCAAAGCAATCGTAAAATTTCGCAATTGATCTTATCGATTGATCTCATAAAAAAGAATTAAATGATCGCCATGAATCATTAATATATCCAAAAAATATCAATCAAATTGCATGCATATTTGAAAATACATATAATTTAGAATTGAGAAAGGGCTAAATAAGAATGCTTCATTATGTTAATCTAAATTGCACCAATATCAATTAAATTACGAATTTTGACAGTGTGCATTACTAATCAAATTACAAACAGTATCTGTCCCCATAAGAATAAGATAGTTGAATAATTCAAGACTGATGACTTATATAATTAATTATGTTGTAAAAATGCTTTTAGATAGAACTTATTTAATAATTTGATCATTTACTTCTCTAAAACTTTTGTGCTGATGGGTTTGTTGATTACTATGTTTATCTTTACTATTACTGTTACTATTGTTACTATGAAGCTTATTGTGGTTATTATTAGGGTTGTTCTTATTGCTATTATTGACCTGATTAGGCAGTACTTCTTGTAAATTACTAAACAGGTTTGCTTTATTATGTTTCAGTTTGGGATCTAGAATTACTAAATCCTAAATTATTTCTTCCAATTTATGTTTATGGTGCTGATTATTGAGGCGCTTATTAGTTAGGTTGCTGTTATTGTTATAAGGCTTGGGATGAGATATTACTTCTAGAAATAAATTTGGTTTCAGTAACTGGCTATTTTTCAGCCTATTGGGCTATTTATTTCTTTTCTCTTTCCTCTTATTCTTTCTTCCTAGCTTCCTCCTCTCTTAATTTTCTTTCTTCATCCTGTTTTTATAATTGCAATCCTTTATCTAAAATTTGCTATTTGAATTTCTAGGTTAATTCTGCTTTAAATTTCTAGACCTATTCCTAATATTCTTTTTCCTTTTATTGTTTTTTCTAAGCGATTATTTCATCGTGATATTTAAATGCATCAGTTAAGCTTTCTTTTAATTTTAAGTTTGCTTGGTATTATTCTTGATGCTTTTTTTAAGCCTCCTCAATATTATCTTCTGGCCAACTAGTTATTATCTTCGATTCCATAATGGCTCTTTCTCTTTCAATATAATCGTTCTTTTTAAAAGTTCTCAAATATTTATCATCAGCCCCTTTCTTTGCTTCTTCTTCAAATTTCTTTTTGATATCCTATAATACTCCTGTGTCTATATTTAATAAGTGATAATCTTTTAATAATTCAATTTTCTTTCTTTCTCCATTGATTTCAAAAGTAACATATTTTCCTCCCTTTAATTTAATAATATCTTGCAATAATTTTTATCTGATTGATATTTCTTTAGCCTTTTTTGCTTCCATCTCAGCTATTCTTTCCTATTCAAATTTCTTTCTCTCCTCATCTTATCTTCTTTACTCCTTCATTTCTTGAATGACTTTTTAATTATCCTCCTCCACTTTCTTTTTAATAAGATCTGGATCAGCCAGTCTATTCAAATTTTTCAAAGTCTATTGTCTGGTCAAAATGACAAG